TTTCTTTTTCCTTCACGTTCCCCATTGGAACAAGCTAGTGGCTTGAAGCTTCTGTAGAAGTGTTTATTTTACAGGAGGGGATTGCTAGCCTCATTCCCAACCTTTCCTCTTTACCAGCATTATTTCTGGCTTAGAGAGGTAAAGGAGTGCGTCCGTGGCCGGGGATCGAACCCCGGACCATTGCATGGTCGGCGAGCGCCCTAACCGCTATGCCACCGAAGCTCTGCACACTTTAAGTCTTGAAAATACCAACTACTCATTACAAAGTACATCGAATTTTCATTAAGCGATATGCCCATATACTTGTTTTACAAAATATGTTGCTTTTCTTCACTGTCTTCCTAGATTCTGATTTGACTATCGATCTTATAAACACTCGTAATTGTTTCCGTATGCATAAACTCAATACAGACAAACACAGTCTCTTTTGCTGGAATGTAAGGACAAGCAGCTATTAGCAGATTAATACAATCTTCCAGATTTTCAAGCCAATAGCTTGAAGCCCTATGTTCCAGATTTTGATGTAGGTTACAACTTAAGTATATAACAAAAATTAACAGACCAAATACTATTTGCATACTATTTAGAATTCAAGAGAAATGATAGTTTCCTCTTAAAATTCGAACGAATGACACAATTTCAGTCAATTCAATATTCCCGGATAGTATCTTAAACAGCTAGATAAAAGGCATCATGTTACAAATTAAAACTTAGCTTATTCGAATTAGTTGATAGTCGGTTGCATAAATTTACCTTACCTAACGGTTGAACGATTGGTAATGCAAACAGTCTCCTAGTCTGTCTGTCTGTTTGTTTTCGACATAGAACTTTGCATCGATGTGCAGCAGTTCAAGTCGCCACACTCCATGCAACACACAAAGCAAGAGAAGAAATGCATAATAGAGACGGTAACCAGGGATATGAGACAAAAGGAATAGCAATAACGAAGAACAATATAGTTTCATTGGAAATTATAAGTCAAAAGGAGTGGATGCACTTACGCCATGGAGAATGATTTTGAGCCATATCACCGATTGTCTCCAGCCATTGGTTTTTACCATCCCGAAGAACCCAACCAGGAATTTTACACCTTTCTAAATGGCTAGCTTAAACTGACTTGTGGATTTCACTGACTGGCGCCATTTCCAGGCTGATTTTATGGCAGCTGACATTGCACATTGAGGAAGGTGATGGCTAGACATGCGTAGCACAATGTCCTAACCATCTCAATTGGTGTAAGATTCACAGACTCGTCGATCGATTTCTTCTCTTAACCTAGCACTCGACCGATGTTTAACCTCAATATTGTTCACCCTATCATACGAACTAACACGGGAGATAGAACGCAGGCACCTATGATCAAAGACAGTCAGTCGTTTCATGCTTCCACTCTCAATGGCCAAGTCTCATAGCCATAAAGGAGGACGGAGCGGACTGCTGAGCAGTACACAGGCCCTTTGGTCGATAGCCGGATATGGCGTCTACGCCAGAGACGGCGTAAATTGGCATATGCGAAACTAGCCGTCTGTATCCGTGCTGAGATTTCGTCAGCGATGAACCCGTTGGCGCTGGCTGATGCAACTTCCCAAATAAGTGAAACGGTCAACGTGCTATACCACTTTCCTCCCTATTTCTACACTAAGAGTCAGTGTAGTCCAGTCCTGTAACATCCTCTTACATTTGACGGGAGTGAATCTCATGCCAAACATCCCCACATTGTAGTTTAATGTGTTCAGAAGACTCTGCATTTTTTCAGCGTCTTCACCCAGGTGGAAGGACTATATCATATGCATATTCTAAGTCAACGAGATTATCCCCTGGTTAATAGTCAATCCCTGAGTCGTCGAAGTTAGCTAGAGTTAAGTCCATTAGTATATCTATGATAAAATTAAACAGAAATGGGGATAGTGGACATCCCTAATGAACGCCACTGGTTGTCATCACTTCAGATGACAACTCCCCGTGGGCTCTCACCTGGCTGCATGAGTTCGAGTAGAGTGAGTGGCTTGATCAGTGCAATGTATTTTCTAGGCATTCTCTTCACAGGCAAACATCGCCAGAGTACCTCACGGTCGACGGAATCGAATTCGTTTTCAGGTCAAGAAATATGATGACTGTTGGACGCCGGTAAGAATGCCTATGTTCCTGAATCTGTCGAAGGGTGATATGGATATGGTCAATACACCTTCTTCCTGGTCTGAAGCCTGCCTGGTTGTCTCGTGTTTGTTCCTCCTGCGGACCACTTAGTCTACGCATGAATATTGAGCTTATAAATTTAGATACCACATTAGTCAAGCTAATCCCCCTGTGATTATCACAGGAAGACTTGTCTCCCTTCTTGTATATGGGGATAATCAATGACTTACACCAACCCGACAGGACTTCCTCTGATTCCCAGACGCTGTCTAGTACCTTAGTTAACGCAGACAGTAAACTGTCTCCACCGTACTTAAATAACTCTGGAGTCATTCCATCGGCTCCTGCTGCTTTGCCTCGTTTCGGACTATTGACAGCCTTAGTTACTTCAGTTAGGGACGGAGGACCTGTATCTATATCCAATTCATGGAGGTGTTGGATGTTCGGCAAGTTGAGTGTGGCTGTAGGCCAATTAAACTGCTCCTCAAAGTGTTATTTCCGCCGTTCTGGTCGTCTAACCTGGGAGCTAATTATGGTGCCATTTTTCTAAGAGATTGTTTCACTGGTCATTTGCCTTTTGCCACCTGTTTCTCGTATAAGTCGAAATATTTGTCTGGTGTTATCTATCACCGATGTCTTTTCCATCTCTTTCGCTTTTGTATCCCCCCACCGTTCACCGTCATTGCAAAGAATTCCTATTAGTTCGACCAGAGATACTCGTTTCGCTAGCTCTTTCTTAAATTGGGACTCAGTGTCTTGATCGGGTTGGGGGCGTAAATGCTTCGCTGCCAACAGTTTTTTACGTCTATTTAATCGAAAGCATAGACGTGTGCGAACCAGAGTGTGAACGGAGTCTACGCACATGTTCCAAAGGAAGCGGAAGCCTTCTACTGACCCTCGCCAACGATACCCTATGGCTATGTGGTCTATCTGAGTCCAGCGTTGATTTGGTGATGGAGCTCGCCAGGTTAGGCAATGTCTCTCTTTTTGCCTAAAGTTAGTGCTGACTAGGAACGGATGATTACCCGAACAGAACTGTATAAGACGATCGCCGTTGTCAATTCGTCGGCAGGGAACTCCATACGTACCGCCTACATACTTCTCAATCTGGCACAACTTCCCTACTTGGGCACTGAAGTCGCCTGCTAAAACAACTATATCTGAACGTTTTGCATTCTGCAGCAAATTGGACAGTTTCAGGCAGAAATCATCCTTTAGTTCATCCGAACTGCAGTCAGTTGGGGCGTAAGCGGAGACTATGAGAAGACAACGACGGGTAACACCGTCCTTCCTTCTTCTAACGGACCCATTCAGATGGACCGAACACATACGACTATCTACTGGGATCCAGTCAAAAAGTGATTTTTCTGCCCTAACAATCAATGGTATCCCTACACTTGCGAGTCCTCAGGAACTAGCTGAGGGGTCTCCTGACATTCTGAAAGTGAATTTTGCAGATTCACTTTGTTGGCCAGGTGAGATCAAGTGAATGACCACACTCAAGTCTTGTATGTGTGTCTCCGAAACACAACATACACCCATGGCTCAAGATGCAAGAGTTCTTGCTAGTGACGCCTGTTGTCCAATTTGCCAGAGGATCCTGAAGTTGAAAGCACTTTGGGAAAACAGAAGCGGTTTTATAAAAATATGCTGAATTTAATGTACTGTTGTGCATAACACCCAGCCTCGAATTTATGGCACTTACAAAGTGAGTGAAGAGTGAACGCTACCTTCGCAACTATCAAGTCATATTACGAGCACAGAAAATCTACCACACAATGTTATTTTGAACAAACGTGAAACTTCACATAGACGTTCAGTCTTTTCAGACAACTCTACATTTTGTTGCAATTTATGCTTAGATTGATGAAAGTCGATTAACATATTGTCATCTGAAAAAAAATTGAACGCTTGAAATATCAAGGAAAGAAAATGCTAACTTCAGAGAGTTTCAAGAAAAAGAAGAGTGACGTCATTTACACGTAATTTGAGTTATACAGAAATAAAATATTGTTGAATAACGATACTGATGGAAAGACAGCATTGAATAATACTTAAAGGAAATGCTCTCAGAAAAATGCTTAAGACGAATAAAAGTTTGTCCAAATGAAAGTTTAAAATACCGTTAAATTAGAGTCATATAAAAATGCAGTGGAATTCTAAGTATTGCAATGAAGTAATTGTGATAGTAGATTGACACCATATATATTCTAAGTGTTGATTCAAAAATATAGACTATGGTTTGTGCGACTGAGAATATCAAAGAAGATAATGTGCGGCTTTTTACAGGAAAGTAGAAAGAGATATTACTAAGCAAATATGGATTTAGCTAACAATTTTACCTTAAATTATTTTATTTAACAGAAGAATGGGCATAAATGCTGGCAAAATCTGATTGGATGATGGTATTTATTTCCAAATACTCCTAAGAATAAATAAATTTAATTGGCTAAATTCCTCGATTTAAATATATTGTTAGGATTACATCTATTTATTTTTTTTATTTTGATTACAGCTTGATGCCACACCGTATTTTCAGTACAAGTATGGAATTTTCAGCATGGATATCGGTAGCCCAAATTTCGCAGGCCGACCATAGATATCGGGTGTGCGTCGGTAGGGGATCGAACCCCGGACCATGTGCATGGTCGGCGAGAGTCCTAACCACTGCGCCACGGACGCACAGTGGCAGACACAGACAGGAATATTAGCTCAAGAACGGTTTTCGTAATGGATTCAAATAACTCATGGAAACATTATATCTTTACTTACTGACAGTGTAAGAAAACCGTTTTTATAATTACGAAACGTAACGTCTAAAAATTATAAAACAAAATAGTCCTAAATAATGCAGACCAACTCACATTGTTTTCAGGTCCCAGTCACCACACGTGACAAAAGCAAATTTATTCGGACTAGTCTTCAGATTGTTTTCGTCGAGGAAGGCGTCAAACATCTATGTTAAAAATAAGAAAGGAAAACTGACAACTACAGCAAGCAGAATATCAATAAACAATGGGGAGTAATATGTTTCGTAATCAACAAAGTCGTTGTCTCTGTCTTTGCACTTATAAAATAATTTCCTATATGAAAGATGTAAAAATTACAGTAAATAAAAAACTGTATACTTCCTACCACTAGTAGATATCAAAGATACATCTGTTTGTAATTCAATCAAGTACTTGTTGAGAATAACACAATGACAACTGTCAATAACCTGAAGCACATGCTTTTTATCACTGAAAAGTTTAGGAATCTGTCTAATGTGGCACAGTCAAATGTAATCCCCAGAGAGCAATGCAACTGTGTGTTTCACAGTTCTGAAGGATATTGAACTTCCACTTCTCAGGAAGCTTTCTCGAGATTTCACACCGCGTTACAGAAAATCACAATCACTGAGTATCTGTGGGTTATAGTAGAAAGCACCCAGAAAACATTGGATCCACATCTACAAAATACATGATAATGGCCAGTATATATCAGTTAGTTTTTCTAAGTGATAAAACTGATTAACATCCAGGCGAATTTTTAATATGCTTCGCTGTATTTAAAATATCCCCATTAAGTCACAAAAACGAAAAGGTGTTCAACGAAGAGTCACTCTTTTACAGCTATATTGCTGAGTAGTAGTAAAAGATAATAGTTTTATAAAAGCAATATAAGTGGGAGTTTTCTCAAAATAGTACAGTCCGTAATGACTGGAGAATCCAAAAATCCAAGAAATCTCTACAAACCAATACTTGAAAACCAGTGAGGTGCCCACTAATGACTGGTTCTATTCAGGTAGTTAGTTACCTGAGGTTCTAGTGGGACATCGTTACAAGCAGGGTGCAGCAGATAGGGTGTGAAGACAAATACTCGCCAAATACATTATTGGCTAGCGGCTGCAATACGTCGTGAATCGGCAGAAGCTAGAATTCATTAGCCATTGGATCAGATTCCAGTGGCTTAATCGTCCACGATCTCACCTTAAAACCAGAAGGTCCTGGATTCGAGCCCCGATGGGTGCGTACTGCTGAAGAGTCCCAAACTAGGACAAAACAGCTGTCCAATACTCCCTGCAGGTTTTCCAATGGTTCTCTAACCGACGTCAGCTCATGATGAAGTCCTGTAACCAATCAATCAAATCCCTACAAACCAATACTTGAAAATATCGCATTATTTGAGGTGTGATTAAGGCATTCTCAACGAACTATGGAGGACAGAGAAAATGGTGTTAGCGTTCATTGTTCCCAACGAAATAATAATGTACGATCGTAATTCAAACTAAGTACAATTTTTCAAGTTTTGTCATAACTTTGTCAATCAAAATATAAATTTACTCAAAAACAATTAAATACCGACATACGGCTTTAAGTAATTCACACATTTCATAGAATTATAATGATTGATAATGATGAAGAGATCAAATGATACCTTTAATACGGTAGGTAAATCTGATTGATCTTCTACCATAGCCTGTATAATTCCAGTTAGCTAATGACAAAGAGAAATGTAAAAGGATTCAGATTAAAGTAGGCATATTTGTATTTTGTATTTTGTGTTTTTAAAGACATAAAATATTGATCACAGTTTGTTATTTTCTATTCACAATTGTTGCACATCTTCACTCAGTATGGATGCAGACGACTTTGTCTACGCAGGAAATTGTTTTGAAATACACAAAGTATGTCTCCATCACCAGGATAGCAATTTAAAAAAGATGTCAAACAAAAAGACGAGACAAAATAAAAATCAGCATGATGATAATAGCGACTTCAACTAATCCCAACGCCTAACACAACAACAATATGGAGAAACCAATAGAATAGCCAAAAGACAACAAAATATAACTGCCACAACAATGTAAGGAAAAGGACAACGTCAATATCCAAGGGAAACGCGATTCTCCTAGTTGATATCGCTGTTTGATTTCAGTCCAAACGTGTTCAGCATTACAAATTACTGTGTAAATGAAATCAAGATTTAGCGATGATAACTGCAAATGTACTATTGCGGACATTTTCATAGTGTCAGAGCTCAGTAAACCACTACCGTATACACTTTAACTATAGTACCGAAAGTTTATCAATAAAAAAGACCTTATAAATCTCAGCTAGACTTGTAAACTTGCTGACCGAAACGTGTTAGAGACAGTAAATCACTCCAGTTCTAAAAAATTTTAATAAAATCAAAGTCGGTCGATACTTTATAAAACTCTGAGAATGCTATCACTTCAATAACCCTGATGTTTCTAGTAGTATGCAATTTTTGTAACTTGGTACATGAAAAAAGTGCAAGCAAATGGAAAATAATATAAATGTATGCACTCGACAACGAGTGATTTATAAATTTTCATAACCAGCGTAAATAATGACGTAAAGGGATTAGGCGTAAAACTGTTTTTTTTTGCAGAAACAATGTTCAAATCATCGAACAGAATATACTAGCCTTAAAACACTTTGACGAGATATATGTCATCGGAAATATTAACAAAGATAAGTTGAAAATTCAATACGTTAATCCCAACTGTACTGTTCACAACGATTTATTTTTTCTACAGCATTTTAAAAGGTCGCTTGCTGTCTTAAAGCAGCCTACAGATCCATTTAACTTAACGAAATTATTCTCATTAACAGAAATGCATAACAGTACCGTGAACTAACTACATATTATGCAATGCCATGCAAAAAAATCTTTAGCGAAAGAGCCGAACGATACTCACTGCATGTTATGGGCATATATATATTTATATTATTATTATTGTTTCCTTTAATTCCTAGAGGAACATAGGGCTTCAGCCGTGCGTCTCCATTGCGTTCGGTTCTCTGCTAGAGTCTTCACCTGGCTCCAAGTCTGCCCACACGTTTTCATCTCCTCTTCACATCACCTCCTCCAAGTCACCCTTGCACTGACGACCAACTCGCCGCTTCCCTTTCGGGTTCCACTCGAGTAATGGCTTGTCTAGTGATGTCAATTGATGGTTTCCTCAGAGTATGGCCAGCCAATCCATCTCCATTTCTTCCTGCCTATTTGTTTCACAATCGGTTCCTGGTTGGTTCGCTCCCAGAGATCTCTGTTGCTGATCTTTTCTGGCCATCTGATCTTGAGTATTGAGCGAAGACAACTGTTAATGAAGGTCTGTAGTTTGTTTGAGATGCTGTTTATGACGCGCCAAGTCTCTGATCCATATAGTAGCACTGACTTCACATTGGAGTTGAAAATCCGGATCTTATTTTTGATGCTGAGTGCTGTTGACCTCCACACAGACTTGAGAGTAGTGAAAGCTTGTCTTGCTTTTCCGATCCTTGCTTTGATATCCTCGTCAGTTCCATCCGCCTGTAATTGAAACGATGCTTCCCAGGTAGGTAAAAGAGGTTGTTTCTTTCAGGTTCCTCCCATTTATGCTGATCGTTGTCTGTTGTTGTTGTTCTTGCCCAGGAATCTTCATCACCTCTGTTTTCTCTATGTTCACCTGAAGTCCTATCTTTGATGCTTCTTCTGCTAACTTGTTGCTTTTCGCTTGCATATCTTCCAGTTTGTGGGAAATCAGACATATATCATCGGCGAAGTCCAGATCCTACAAGTATTTTGTGTGAGTCCATTTTATGCCTGTTTCCTCATTGCCCGCTGTTTGTCACATTATCCAATCTACTGCAATCAAGAAAATCATTGGCGATAATAGGCAACCTTGTCTTACTCCTGTCCTCACTTCGAAGGATTCCGTAAGTTTCCCGTTGTGGATTACTTGGCATGCAGCATTGTCGTACAGCTGTTGGATGAGATGTATAATTGTCGGTGGCATTTTACTCAAGTATTCTACTAATTACAGTAATTTTCTTAAAATTTTATTCCTTTACGTTTCCAGTGGAACATAGGGCTTCAAGATAAAACTTTGAAGTTTCGGTAGCAGTGATGTCTATGTTTACGGGATGAAGTCGCCGACCTCATGCCCAAACTTACGCGGCTTAACGGGGTTTAGCAGTGCGCCGGCTGGGGATCGAACTACGGACCACGTGGGGCGTGGTTGGCGAGCATTCTACCATTGAACCACCGACTCACATAACTACAATAAGATCAGTATTAATTATGAAAAAACATTCATTACAAAAAGTCTAAATTTCTCTTACCTCTGTACAGAAATCGGTCAGCTCTGGATTAACAGTTGGTCGAACATACTGGTGAAAAACAGCTTCAGTTTGAAATGTAGATGAATTCACCATAAGGACTGGGAACTCTATTATTTCCTAATAATAAGACGAAAAACTCATTTCCTTATCATACAATTTAAAGTAAATTTAAAAGTTCGGATAGCAATCCCATATCAATTAGCTGGGTGTCTATAATGCACATATGACGAAAGGATTACAATTAATTACTACGACTAATCGACTAATCCAGTTGATAACTATCTCTCAATAGACTTGTTTCCAGTTAGAGGCTATCAGATAAACGTGCTTGTTAATAGACAAAGTCCAAAATTACGAACTAGCATCACCCGTGCTTAGTTCTGTTATGCACACAAAACAATTCTAAGGTGACGTTTTATCAATACACTGTCTTACAACTGATGCATGCGTAATTCACTATTCTAAGGTTATGCAGGTTACTTTCAAAAATAAAACAAGATAGATTCTGGTAATTTGAGTTAAATAAACGTTTACATAACTGATTGAAGGCCACACCTAATGCTTACAGGTTGACAAACAGACACACTTCAATGCACCACTTATAGATGTTGATAGTGAAATGTGCAGACAAGTGAATTACTATTCCATATTTTAAGGATACTTAAACACAAAATTTATCGACCTTTAACAAATCAAAGTCTCGAGATAACTTATGTGGTCAAATTACCTGCAACTTATTTAGGCATAACTACTTAATAAACGAACACAAATAAATCATGGTCAAAGTTTAGTATACACATGTTTATTTCTCACTGATAAGCTGCATGCATAGATATTTTTGTGATAATTTCTAAATATTCTCACAACGTTCACATACCTAACGTGTTCGTGAGACGATGAGTTATACGGGTTTCTATTGTGGTATGCTGATGCACGCGATATCCTCATTCATTATTCTACTTCTGTTGTTTGTTCCCATTTAGATGATGATGCTGAATTTTACCTTTGTTGATAACAAATATGCGTTCGAAGCTGTAGTCAGCATATTCTTTATTTCCAAAAGATTTAGCCTCGACTTAGCTGCACTAGAATCCCCTACGAAATATTGTTCGTTTGCAAGTGTTGTTTGTTTGGCTTCAAGTTTGATTAGCACACTATAATCAGTTAGAAAACGATTGAAAACCAGGAAGTACTGGACAACCGTTTCTTCCTGGTTCGGAACTCTTCAACAGTACGCACCTATGACCACACCAGGGATCGAACCCAATCCCTTCAGGTTACAAAACAAGCCCCTTGACCATTCAGTCACTGGGATGCACTCCAACAGCCCATGAATACTAACCTCTGTAAATTTGCGATTTATAGCGCCAATGGCAACCAGTGTCATCCGTAAGTACTTATCCTCACACCTAACCTGCTGGAGTTCACTGGTCACGACTATGTACTAGAACTGATTTTTTCTATTTTTAAAATTAGACTCCTCCTGTTGTTTGATTTGTGCATGATACGCCGATGCTAGGTCCCATTTAGAAAGATGTGAAAAATATATACACATCCGAAAATCTGTGCTTTAATTTCGAACTATACTATACGAATAATAAATTATTAAAACAAGTGAATTTCTCTTTTGGAAAACATAAAAACCTTGGGTTATAAAGTGAAACTATCAGTCAGTAATGTCGCTAGCACTGGTGATAAAAATGAGGAAATATGGTGGCATTACCGTTTCCCTACCAGTTAACAATATTGCAAACAGTTTTCGCGGATATGAGTGTGGTCTAGACGTTCTATCCGCTATTATCTTTTGATAGTAATAAACGATCTAAGAGAGTCTATACACGTTTAATTAATGGGTAGAGAATCACATTTATTTTGTCATGACTTTTGATACTACTAGTCTACGTAAACTAAATAAAATGAAATGGGGCCCATTGCATTAGATGCGAATGCCACATTTCCCATCTTTAAACTTTGGGAAATTCTCTAATATCTCTATCTTTCCTCTTATGGCATACGATAATCCTACCTGACGGATTATTTAATACTTAGTTTTTTTGCCTGGCATGTAAACAAAAGATAAGTAGGGAAAAATTCACTGCAGAAAAATTCTTCGAGGGATAAAACCTCATTTTTCCTAATGTAAAAGAACCATAAAAACAAACGAGAATATCGACAAAGAACAATACATATAGATGTATAGGTTTAGGTAAGTCTGAACTTCGAACAGTGTAGGGGAAAAATAAAGACAGTGGTATTACAGTCGATAAGTACAAACAAGAGACAGGTAAATTGAATAAAGGTTTGGCAAAATACTCAGAATTTCGAAGGATATAATGACTGTAAGTATTATAAGCGTCCTAATGACTTTAGCAAGGAAACCTGCACATGTGTAAAAGCCTCGAACCAATAGCCATGAAATTCACTTCTTTGTGTTGTGCCACAATTTAATCTTGACTTGAATTAATCCTACTGCATCCACATCTAAGCACAGGAAAGATGTTTGTTGGCATGCACAGAACATCATCCAGCCACGTCGGTCGAAAAAGCTGCACAATCTCATCAAGAGGATTCTTTTCCTTAACCAATATTTTCTCCTGAAACTTGTCATCACTTTGTTCATGGATAATCCCCATCTTCGCTGAACTACGTGTTCTATTTTCATTACTTTGTTGTCCAATGATTCGAATATACTCACAGTAAAAAAGCTATGCGTCTGTGGCATAGCGGTTAGGATGCTAGCCGACCATGCATATGGTCCGGGGTTCGATCCCTGGCTAACGCACTCCTTTACCTCACTGTGCCAATATTTAAAAAAAACTGGTGAAGAGGAAAGGTTGGGCATGAGGCTAGCAACCCCATCCTGTAATAATAAACACTGTACAGAAACTTCAAGCCACTAGCTTGAAGCCCTATGTTCCACTGGGAACGTGAAGGAATAAAAGAAAGATATAATCTCAAATCTTCTGCTTTAGGTAGTTGTAGCTCATAACTGTAAGGTAGATAAAAAGTGTTGTGAAGTACATTTACTACGACAGTCAGCTGGATATCTCATCAATGTTTAGAATGGTACCATGTAGCTAGCGTCAAACTAGTCATTTGTATTGTATTGAGCCTTAGTCAAAGACAGACCCACCATGACAGTTGTGAGGTACTTACCCCATTCAAACCACCTAATCCCTACTATTAAATCAGAAACTGATACTACAGAAAATGTAAACGCAGGACACGCAAATACTAGGGACTGATTAAAGGGTAAATTTATTTAATAAAATCACTGTGATACAGTATTATTTACTGATGTTTCGAACACAAATTATTGCTGATAATTATATCTAGGTATTCACATAACTTTACAACTTCGTCTATTTAATTCTATTATTTCTTATCCTTTGATTTGAATGGTAGTAATATTTTCCACACATCTGGTATTGGTGATTATTCATTTCTGTTGCATGTGTTAGATGTGGATGTGATGAACAAAGCTTCATTAACTTTGATAGGACACTAGGTCGTAAGTAACTAGTATCATGCATCTAGTCCTTTGTCCGGTGCAGACTGAATTCTATCAGTCAAGTTTGCAATGTGACCAGCATTCTAGATAGCTCGTCAACACAGTACACTCTGAATTGTTGTCATTAAACGGTTGGAGATAATCGGCAGGAAGCCTTGGACCTAGGTTTCGTGCTTGTTGGCACTAGTTAGCAATCAAATTATCTAATACTGTCCTACAAGAGATCAATAACCAGCCCAGATAGCTCAGTGGTAACATCTCCGACTGAAGCACTGGATGACATGGGTTGGAATGTCAGGATGGATTTGAGTTTTCTCAAGGTTTCAGATACGCCTTGGTGACGGGGGCTAACAAGCACGAAGCTTAGGTCCAAGGCTTCCTGCCGATTGCCTAAAACGATGCAACAACAACAAAGCTTCAGGACTCTACGATGAAATTATACTCTACGACACTGCCCACGTCCTACTTTTCTACTGCAGACCCAGTCTAAGATGACAGGTACTCAACAAGAGCATACAGTGTTGTTTTAAAATAAGTACAAAGAATAAACACATAATTTGATATGAATATTCAATTGTTCCCCGTGGAAACTCCAAACTTTTAACACAGCATTTCCATTCATTTGTACGTATAAACGAAATTCAGTCAAAATAATGTTATTTTTTATTTATAAGGTGATCCTCTTCAACTGAAAAAAGAAATATGATGTAACTTCATAATCGACTATCACTACCAAACCACGTGATTTTTTTTCCTTCACATTTCCCAGTGGAAAATAGGGCTCCAAGTTAGTGGCTTGAAGTTTCTGTAGCAGAATTTACTTTTTTTTACAGGATGGGGTTGCTAGCCTCATGCCCAACCTTTCCTCTTCACCAGCACTATTTCTGGCTTAGCGAGGTAAAGGAGCGCGTCGGCCGGGAATCGAACCCCGGACCATGTGCATGGTCGGCGAGCGTCCTAACCGCTATGCCACCGACGCACTGGCGCCCGACGTGGGGCTCGAACCCACGACCCTGAGATTAAGAGTCTCATGCTCTACCGACTGAGCTAGCCGGTAAATTAAGTTGACATCTAATAGGTAGATATTAAATGTGAGTTACCCAACAAAAATGAAAAACCTTACATCAAATCAAATTATGTTATTGTTAAGATTGAAAAGTTTCTTCCGACAACGAGGTTTTTGTTGACTTTCTAATCTACTATAGTAATCGTGAATAAGAAATTTACAATTTTAAATTGAAATATTCATGCGAACTCATCTCTAGCATTGATTCTTTTTTTTATAAAAACAAATAGATAGATAGAGAATTATTCCAACCAACAAATGGTACAAATTACTTTCACATAATTATTTAACGGAAAATGTAAACCTTGTTTTATGAATACATAATTACCTACAAGTACATTCTGTTTGAAGTATTGAATTTAACTGGAAAATCTCGGTAGCTTCCTTCCTATATTCAAGGGAGAAGGGGTATTCCCTAAAAAGTGGAGGTCATTTCACAACTGTTAACATCAAGGTCAGCTAGACAGTTTTCGGAATGAAGTCAACGGCTACTTTGATCTGTTCAAAGATTTAATGTTCTACTTAAACCTGTAAGATGACGAGAACTAGTAATTACGTTTCCAAATACTCCTAAGGTGATTGGCATAAAATTATCAAAGTAACCAGTTCATAAAAACGTTACCCATAAAAATTCCCATGAGTTGTGAGTGTGCAGGGCAAGCAGAAACAATAGTTTGTTGATGAAAGTTATACAGAAAGGAAATATAAGTATCGAAAGCAGGAACACAAATTTCCAGTGGAAATAAGAGGGTCAGTTAGAATGCAGAACAGAGATGTGTGGCCACATGGAGTGTGGCAACTTGAACCGCTGCACTTCTGGGCAGAGTTCTGCATTGAAACTCAGTCAGTCAGTATGCTACACCTGTTGTGTGCGAAATAAAAAAATAGAACTGTCAAACCAACGAACAACAATTTATTTAGACATTTCAATGCCAGAAAGAAATGAGATATTTCTTCGGAAATTAACGGGCATACATAGACAAAAATAAAAACAGACTTACTGGAATTTCGATTCTCTTTTCTTTGTCACAAGTTGCCTCGAAATCCAAAACCATATAGTAGGCGAATTTCTGTACATTTTTCAAATGCCCAGTAAACGCGGAATTCACGATTCTGGATGCCTGAAATGAATCAAAATCATCTTTCACATTAACATATATATATATATTCAGATATGCTCATCAGTCATACACACAAACTTTTGCAACAACTTAAGGACTTATGTGAATGCATCTTTGCATCCGACTTTCATCTCTCTGTAATGGAACAATGGAAAGTGACCCAATATAGAGAGTAGAAGTTAAAATAATCAACATAGTAGTTAGAAAGACAAAGTAACGTGAGGATAGAGTCAAGCAGAAGTGTACATGAGATAATAAAGCAACGACTTAAGGCAACTGGAAGTTTTTCGGAACGGTATGGCCAATCAAAAGGCCAACGCTTACTTAACTAGACAACTTAGAACAATCAATAAAATTTTTTAGATCAATATCATAACTTCATTTTATTTCACTAAGATTGCTTGGATCCTACTTTTCCTCTAGCTATCAATGAACACTAAAGTGATAACAGAGATGACGGTCCTTCTAGGTGAAGACGCTGACAAAATGCAGAGTCTTCTGAACACCTTGAGCTACAATCTGCGAATGTTTGGCATGACATTCGCTCCCATCACACATAAGATGATGCTACACGGCTATACATTGACCATTAACCTAAACATAGGGAGTGAATTGATAGAGCGTGTTTACCACTTCACTTATTTGAGAAGTTGCATCAGACCCAACGGGTTGATAGCTGACGAAATCTCAGCTCGAATAAGGAAGGCTCGTTTGGTATATACCGACTTACGCCATCTCTGCCTTAGTAGATGTGATATCTAGCTGTCGACTAAAGGGCGTGTGTACTGCTCAGCAGTCCGCTTCGTCCTCCTTTATGGATGTAACATATGGATATTGAAAATGGGAGATACGAAAAGGCTAGCTGTCTTTGATCATAGGTGCCTGCGTTCTATCTCCTGTGTTACGTGGTATAATAGGGTGAGCAATATCGAGGTTAGGCGTCGGTCGAATGCTAGGTAAGGAGTGGAAATCAATCGACGAGGTTGTAAAGTTACACCGATTAAGATGGATAGAACATGTGTTACGCATACCTAGAAATCGCGTTCCTCGACGGGCAATGTTAGCTGACATGGAATCAGGTTGGAAAAGAGTTGGTTGTGGTCAAATCAAAACATGGCTTCATCAGTCAGTGAAATCCACAACAGTTAGTTCAAGCCAATCACGTAGGGAGGTGTAGACTTCCTGAATGATTGGGATCCTTCGGGATGGTAAAAAGCAATGGCTGGGCTGGAGATATTTGGTGATATGGCTAAAATCGTCCCGATGATGGTGCAGATGCATGCACTGTTTGTGATTTATCATATCCAATAAAATTGTATTGTTCTTCCACATTACTATTTTTCGCCTCACATTTCTATTTATACACTCTGATTTGAATCTCTCTTCTCTTGCTCTGTTTGGTACATGGAGGGAGTGTGGCAACTCGAACTGCTTCACATCTGTGCAAAGTTCTACGTTGATACCAGTCAGTCAGTCAGTCAAAGATCACAGCTTACTCAGTGAATAAAAAGCGTAGAATCTCAGCTCGTGATTTATCTCGATCTGTAATTAAACCACAATTCAAAATCAGATTAAAACTTAAGCACAGTGGTGAAGTCAATATGACCAGTTGATATCGCACACAGTGGTTCAGTAAACTGTACTAGATAATGTTTCGGATTTAATATCTCGGTAATCGTCATATTATGTTAACCACACCATTTTCAAATCCTTTCTTTGCAGTTCTATAGATCAACAGTATTTGGTTTTTACTGGTAATACAACTTTCAAATATATTCACAATAGATATCAAGTCATTTCTGTTCCATAGAGTACGTGTTGATAAGACAAATAAATTTCACCAATGAAAATTTTTCCATTTAACTATATCGGACTTATTAGTTTTCACTTTATCTTGTCCAGTTATACCTTTTATCAGTGAAATCATCGTACCAGCTGAAAACCTATTATGTTAAGGTCTGACAATCTAGTTTATAGCAGTTAACCCCTTTTGTACCAACATCCAGACTCTTTGAGTGGGTTAATTGTATAGACATTAGACAATTCTGGTCCACCAATAACCTTAAATGTTAGGATCGCTTAGCAATATTGTCTTACATCGTCAGTCCTCTGAGCACCTTTGCCAGTTCACACTTGGTTTGTCCAACCTTACCGGAAAAGCCAGTAAGCAGTTCAATAATCCCGAGCAGTTTTCATACATAAAATAGGCTGGTATTTCTGTAACTGCTTTCACTTGCAAATAAGTTAAACGTAAAAAGCAGGAATGGCAATTTCTAAGTGAGAGCATTCCATTACATAGTCTAGATTTCAAAAATTCTTTCTGAAATCACTTAACGTTAGAAAACAGCAGATAATACACTACTTTATATTATAGTGAGAAATCACGTGACCGTTTACGTTCAAAGGAATGTCAGAAACTATATACTCATACGCAATAGGTGCAAAGTGATTGTGATTATGATAAGTTAAAAGATGAAGTGGAATTTTTTCAATAATTTTAATTCTGTTATTTATTGATGGTATTTTTTAAGAAAAATTTATGCCTCACATAACTTTTTATCTTAGTAATCCGATAAGGCTACAAGCAACAAATTGTGCTCGAAATGTTATCAATAAATAATGCTGTTTCACAGTGTGATATCTGAACAAAATATTCAATTGCAAAAATCAAATTCAGTCAAAATTCTTCAATTGTTCACATTACGATAGCAAAAACTGAATCTGAAAGCACACTTAAAATATATTCCAATTTGTATATAATACGGAAAAAATGACTGGCCCAATACAGGGAGTTACCCAGGGTTCTAATGGGAAGTCGTGACCAGTAGGGTACAGCAGGTCGAAGGTGAGGACAGTTACTCATCGAAGACATTGCTAATTGGTTGCGCCAAGTCGTCAGTTGGCAGAGGTTAGAATTCATGGGCCATTGGATCAGATTCCAGTGGCTTAAACGTCTACGAGCTCACCTTGTAACCAGAAGGTCCTGGGTTCGAACCCTGGTGAGTGTGTACTGATGAAGGGTCCCAGACTAGGACAAAACAGCTGTCCAATACTCCCTGCAGGTTTTCCAATGGTTCTCCAACTGATGCCAGATCATGATGAAATCCTCCAACCAATCAAACACAATCCCTATAAACTAATACTTGAACATACAATTATGCTCAGCTGATTTTATTTAGGGGAAGTGATATTAAAGACATCTCCAAAACTTTGGCGATTACACAAACAATAAACTCCTAAATAATGTGCAGTCATTTCTTTTCTTCAGACACAAACACTGTCACCGTTTACCACTCTCTTGTGTTATCAGTGAGAAACTTCACCTAGGTAGCTAAGCAAGGATCTCCCTTTAGAAGTATAAAACGAATTAATATACATTAATTTTTCAACGATAAAATACTTTTTCATACTGTTTCTAATATCTGACTTGACGACTGGTTGTATGGTACAAGCATAGTAGTTTGATTTTCTTCATACCCCACAAAAAAATATCATATGCAGAGTTATATGACCATGTGAAACAAAAAACACCGATGTTATTTAGTGGATAATGACTAGGACGGGAATCTAGGACACGCATTCAGTCCTATTTTGAACTTGTTAACTGGATGTAACTGCAACTCCAGTAAGTGGTATTGATCCCAATGAGTATCGAATCCAGTAGCCTTCATTTCAAAAGCCAAAGCGTTATCCACTAAACCCCACTTAATGATTGTTACCCAGCTGGTTATTTCATCTTCAATCACTAGTCATCACTTCAACTTTGCACCGATAGCTGCTACATTGACGTGGTGGTCGGGCTTGCATATTGCAATGATCCAACAAGATACACTGGCTGAAACTATTGTTCCTCCTGATCCTACCATGCCAGGAAGATTGTTAGGATAGCGATCAGACTAAAAGCAGTTACTGACATAGTGTAAGAATTTTTTTTACACTATGCTGGGATTCTGTGGGCGAAGTCGTACTGCTTGGGAACAGGGATGTAACAGCAGTGAGATGTTTCCCTCAGATGGCCAGCATGCCAGCCAGCTATGCTGTCTCTCCACTCTGGAGAGAGGGGGTTAGAAAAGGTCAACCCCAACAATTGTACATTCCGACTTACCCTACGGTGGTCCATAACCAGCAGTAAGTCCACTAATACGAGACCAATCGAGGAAACTAGTTCATACAGGCCGTGTGTGACCGGGCTCAAGCAGTTGTCCCCTGGGCTCTGCGGTCACGCAACACTAACCCTCTTTCTATTTCAGGTACCTGAAGAATTAACCAACTTTCACATTGTGAGCAGCCGGGAAGTAACAACCGCCCACACACTTTCATCACTTTAATAAATTATTGTTTGGAGAAAAAATCATACTACTTATTATTCAGTATTTTTAATTAGCCAGTATGAAAAACCTTATATTATCTTTCGATATAAAAAATGTATTACTATTCTGCAAAATAAGTTTCAACTACACAGATTAATAAATTTTCCAAAAATGTATACGTCTATTTTTTTCTCCACAGTTTCACTAACGTCTAGTAATCGCAATAATAATAATAATATATAGCAAGTTTCATCATATGATAGCAAAGAAAGTGCGGTGGAGGTTACACCTAAAAATAAATTCCTTAACCGTAACACTAAATAACGCTACATTTGAAATCCAGAAAATAGTTTTGCAGTAAGACAATTATATGGAAAGTAAGACCGAATACAACAGATGATTGCTGACAAAACATAACTCGATACTATGACTAAGCGCAATCCTCAAACCTTTGAGATTCACCAGTTCATAAACGCAATCAACTAATTAAAGACTTAAAACGCACTCAATACAAACAATAAAATGGTCACCTAGTTAACACTGTCTTAAATATATTGTATATCCACTTGTTGTATGCTGGTGTCAGTCTCCCAGTACCAACTTCAGAATTTATGAAATATCACATTGGTAACATAAAGCATAAAGAAACATAGAAACATTCACAATTATTCTTAATAAATGTCAGAGAACTCAAAATTAACAGAATTGAATATCCATTTCACCTAAAGTTGTTGTCAAAGTTTTTAAACCATACCGATAATCGATAATAATAATAATAAAACTATGCTTTTACGAATTCCACTACACATTGGTCTTTGGTAAGTTCCATAATGCAAGAATACTGTAAAGACCGCTGAAATGGCATATTTATAAAAATCTCGTTTCATTTGAATGATAGACTGTGTCACTTTTGAACAGTAGATTAGATTGGACTTCTGTGTAAAACAGTTATACGTCGTTCGGTAACCAAACATTAGAATTTTGTCAGAAATATTAGCAAGAATGCATCAAACATTTTGTATGTTCTAAGAGTGAATTCAGAATCAAGACTACAGAAGTGATCTATAGATCACTTCTGTAGTACACATTTTTGAAAAGTATACTTTTCAAAAATGTGTACCCTTAGAGATACCTCAGCATTTGTCTTCCCACACTCAATATGCACAAGAGTGATAACTGAATGGAACTAAACATAAACAGTTGTAACGGCTAGATTACATTCCAGTCCACGTTATGCCTTCGGAGAAATTAAACTGTAGTAGTCACCTCAATCGACCTTACCACTGACCTTGAACATATAATCAGAATCAGGGGGCAAAAAAGCCGCAAAACTGTTAAGGAGACTATAGATCCTAGTGTCTTAATATCTGTTATGATTGTTCCTTTGTGTTCCAAGTGGAAAATAGGGCTTCAACAGCACACCTGCACTGTATCATACTCTCTGCGGTTGTCTTTAGCTGGCCCCACGATCTCTAATCTTTTCAGCGCACGATCTACTCCAAGCAACTCTAGGGAGCTCAAATTGTCGTTCCCCGTTCGGGTTCCACACGAGCGATGTCATTCGATGTTCTTCCCAGAGTGTGTCCAATGCATCTCCATTTTCTTCCGTATATATGTTGAGGAACATGTTATTGGTTGGTTTGATCCCATAATTTCTTGTTACTTATTCTTTCTGGCTCACCGTCTGGTCTTCAGTAAGGAGAGAAGCAATTTGTTGATAAAAGCCTACAGCAACCTGTTGGAAATGCTTTTCGTGACACACTGGTCAAGTTTCTCACCCATACAGAAGGACTGACTTAACATTGAAGATGAAAAGCCGAATCTTGTTCTTTAGGCTGCCTAGTAGAGATTTCCAAACTGGTTTCAAGTTGATGAAGGCGTATCTTGCCTTTCCGATACTGGCCAGCTTTGAAATGTTCATCCGTTGAAACGATGCTTCCTCTGTAAAATCTCTCCCTTTGATGGTGATTAGTGCTGGTTGTGGTTCCTGTAGGTTGGTTATCTTCATCATCTCCATCTTCTCTATGTTCACCTGGAGTCCTGTCTTCGCTGCCTACCACGTCTGCCAACTTGTTGGTTTTTGCCTGTAAGTCTTCAAGTTCGTGTGACATTAAACATAAATCATCATGTATTTACTTCAAACGCCTCGCTGAGTTTTCCATGTGAATCACCTGACACGTGCCATTGTTATACAGCTGTTAAATGGGTTTCTCCCCTCTTGAGTAATTAGGTTCCCCAACTATCACTTATAGGTTGCATATGCATTGATCTTTTCCAGCTCAGACTACTGGTAACGCGATTTAATGTTCTGAGGTTTTTTTCCCGTGTCTTGTTCTGCTTCAGTTGCCATTATGTCGTTGGATTTTTTGCTCTCCTAGCACTCTTCTTCACTTCTTGATTTAGTGCGATGTACAATGAACTCAGCCTCTCCTTCTGTTGTCCATCTTTGCATTGAGTATATCATCTTCCTTGCTTCTATTAGCTTCCTCGTGTCCATAGAGGGTCATTCCTGATCTCATCTCTTCCTTCTTCCTAAAACGGCTGATTAAGTTTCCTTGAACACAACTTTCAGAGAGTTCCAAGGTTTCCTCAGCGATGACACGTAGTGTTTCTGAATTGGCTCTGATCTGTAGTGAAGGCTTCCATTGTGGTTTTGTCCTTCAGTTTCTGAACCTGAATTACAGTGGCCTGTCCCCAGTTGTTCTGAAGGATTTCAGCTTCACCTTGAGTGTTCCTTGAAATAGATGATGTTCTGAGCCCACATCTGTTCCCCTTCTCCACTTCGTGCCCAGTAGGCTGGCTACGTTTCCACTTCTTCGAGCAGCACTGAGACAAAGTCTAATTGGTTTGTGGTGTATCCGTCAGGCGAAATCTATGTTGCCTTGTGGATATCCTTGTGTTTGTAAACACCGCTTCCAATCACCAAGTCACTGAAGGCGCAGAATTCCACGAAGTGTTCTCCACTGTCAATCTTTTCGTCTAGAACCTGTCAACCCTTGATGAGTTCTCTTTCTGTATTGCCTGCTCCACGTTTTATCATCCATATCGCCCATTAAAATTTTGATGTCACTATTTGGAATGTTACCCATAACTGTTTGAAGTTGTCTGTGGGATTTTTTCTTCTTCTCTTGGTATGCGATTTTTGTGGGTGTGTGGCATTGGATAATTGTAACATTCCTTCCATGCTCGTGAGTTGAATCATGCTGTCATAAACCTGAGGGTGGAGATTGGTTCCCACTGTATTAGAGCTTTGGCTGCCACTGGTGACATCATTATAGCCACTCACTACTTCAGTGTGCTCGTGGTTGTCGTCTGGGTGATCAGACCAGAGTAGATTACTGACATTCAAGTTGACAGTTTCAACAGTCCACATCCATTCCACCTACTCTCGTAGATTCCTAGCACTCCTAAGTCATGTGTTCTCATTTCTTCGGCAACCTGTAAAGCCTTTGTAGCTTAGTACATTATACAAGCATTCCACGTCCTGATGCTCATTTTTACTTTCATCGAAAGAAGACAAACCGTCTAATTGGCTTCCCTAAGGCTTTCACCAGCCCGCATCATTTCGTCTCTCCAATTCCAGACGAAAATGAGTTTGTTTTTCATATTTTTCTTGTGAGTCGAAGTTTCAGTAGCCTTTAGATTGATTTTCCGGAGTAAGGTTACTAGCCTCACCCTGCCTCTTACCCCGGACTTGGGACTGGCTAGAAAACTAGTGAGCCAGTAAACTAGGCGAGTAACTCTGACTATTCCATGATGCACACAATAGTCTAGAACTCTATCTTCCTGGAACTAGTTAAGCAAATCAAGAACAGACGGTATAATTTCATTTGCTTACATCACCTGTAAATCTAATAGATTATTGGAAGTCAGGTACTTGAGTGGCTGCTCTACTTTAACTTCACAATGCTTTCTTACAGTCATAATAATGATCAATTCAGATGGGATAAAATTTCGGAATGCTAAGGATGTGAACATGCACAAACATCACTTTAAGACTATCAAGTAAAATAGCACACAAAAACAAAAAAAAGAATAATCTAAGGTAGATAAACTACTTGTTTTTATTTTCCAACATCTATTAATTGTACAGAAATGAAGGATATACAATAGTTGAAGAATTTTAAATAGTAAGTGAAATTATTTAAGAGTAATGTAACACTGGGAAGTGCATATTATTATCTGATAAACTGTTAGGTACTACACATTGACCTTTAACATAACAACATTTAGATATCATTATTTTGCTATTATTCTCGTTCATTTGAATACATTTCACTTTAACTCAGAATAATAAACACTGCAGACAATTCTAAGCCAAGAAATATCAGCATTCTGTAGAATATGCATACCTAATTAGCAGATACATGTCCTCTAAGAAGTGAGTAATATACTCAGCTCTGTGAAGCCAATACAGATATAGATAGGGTACACTTAATCCTTGATATCACGGAAAATATCATACAAGTACTGATATATATATATATATATATATATATATATATAAGGTGTACAGCAAGAAGTCCTAGACACACAGGTCTACTAGGAGAAACGATAAACAAAGTAGGCTGCTGACGATGGCAGTGAAATAACTGAGATTTTTGAAAGCAACGAAATGATATATCACCACCTTGTTTGGAAAATAACAGGAATCCTATTCACAAACACAAACAACTTTAAGAGTAGGGATTAAACTGTCTGTTATTATAAACTTCAATTCAGAAGGAAAAGCCATTGGCTTTGCAAACAAGCTATAAAATTATTTTAGAAATACACCCTACTAATAAACATTGCTTCTTTTAAATTATTTCACAACAATACCAAACTTTGAATGTACATCCACTGTTAATAATTTGATTTAATCATTAAGTTCATTAAATAAATATTAAGGAGGTGTAATTTATTAGAAATACTGAATGAAGTGTATTTCGATTACTGGTCAACTATAATGGAGATATTCATATGCATTTGGCTGTATGCCTCGTCATCAATTGAATATAAAACTGTTAATATAAACAATGAATTCATATATATATATATATATATATATATATATATATATATACCGAGTCTTTTCTGTTAAATGACAAAACAAGGGTCAAAGAAATAATACAAAAAAATAATGATACCGACAAGTACAATAATAATAATAATAATAATAATGAATCTAAAATGAAACCATATCTGAAATGAAATTACACGTCTATACACAAATGAGAAAAGTATGGATAATAAGTGAATAACAATAAGTATTATACAGAAATAGTCAACGGAAGACAATTGAAGTCCAATCAAGAGACAGATTAAGAAACAGCAAAAGGTGCAAACAACAAATATGCAAACATTTTTTTACCAGATATATAATAATGAATTGTGAAAAGCAGAAATTATCATCCACCGACCAAACAAGTCTTTATGAGTTATTTCAATGTATGACTGACTGACTGCCTGACCATGTATACACAACACAACATGTCCATAGGGAGTATTTAGAAGTTGTCTTTAAACGTAAACAATGACAGTTTGTGTATAATTATTGTAAATGCAATAATGAACGCATAAAGAAAAGGACATTTTGAAAAATGACTTTTGAAAGGAAAAATTAAATTAAATCAAATTAAGGAAAATAATATGACAAAGAAGCATTCTTTTTAATAAAAAGATATTAGAAAACAACTTAAATCTCCAGGAGGATAAACTGAAGGAAGTCAATTGTCCTATGAAAGTTCACAGCAGAGAGTAGATCAGTTTAAGAATACATTTAAATACACATTACTAATAGCGAATTTTGCATTGAAAGTAGTTGATGAAAACTTGTTTACACCACACACACACACACACACACACACACAATATTATTTAAATACATGAAAGACACTGTGATAAGAAAGTATTTGGTTCAAAGAAATCACCTAGAGTAGATAGATGATGATGGATGTACAGTAGTAAGCCTTTTTAACACCAAAAAACAACAAAACAAAGAGTACATGTGTGCATAGAAACGTAAATGTTTGAAAACAAATTGAAAAGAAAAAAACAAATAGCCATCCATACACGCATACATAACAGAAATTAAATAAGCAGATGCTATTAAACCCATTTAATTAAAAAAAAAGGAAAAATATTTTTCAATCTGATATATAATGGGATATGATAGTTAAGTGGACTTCTCAGCATTTGAATATATATATATATATATATATATATATATATATATATTGACGATATTATTTATAGAAGAATTAGAAAGAGTAAAATTTAAAGCATATATAAATTAAAAATAAGTGTCATTCAATGAATGAAGCAAACAATTCATTCATGTGAATTCGTCGAAATAATCACATATGAAATTAAAGATAGATCAACTTCCATGGGTATTTTGAGATGAAGAAATAAAGAGGGTATGAAACCGGTTACCACCAGAAAAGCGCAAGTAGCACATCTTAGTGATAAATGATTCCGCTGTTTAACATTGACAATTGACTGCATTACACTGTCTGTTATTATTCTTAATATTAATATTATTATTATTAATAATAGAAGTGGACTGTAATGTAGGCAACGTTCTTTCTACTGATGCAAGTATCTCTAAGGCCATTTTACGAATAAGTCTAGCACAGGCGAGCTGGGATTCGTCAGGTCCTACGAATGCGGCGACGCCAGCAGCACTTTGTCCTACAGGCTCAATATGTCCTACAGTTGAAGAATGTCTAGAAGACTGAGGAAGTTGACTGTCTGACATGCAGCAATCACTGACACCTCCAGTTGCAACAGACGGTTCAGTGAGACGCTCGGAAAACAATGAATGAGAAGATTCACTGACAGAGTGGTTATAAGCAGTATCATATGAAACAGGTGATAATCTGGTAGGATTGGCACTTTCCTTGGAATTATCAGCATCATGAAATTGTGTGCCAGAAACATGAGACGTTTGGTCGGATAACTGCCGTTGCAAGCTATGCGCACAGAGAACTGCTTCATCAAAAGAAACAACTAATCGTAGAAATGATAAAAGCGGTTGACATTCGCATAACACGGGTACATAACGCATCTCTGAAAAAAGAAACAGAAATACATTATTCCATGTAAAAACCTTAACATAACATAGATAAGATGAATAACTGATCAGCAAAAAACTCACTGGTTAATAAAGAGTAAATGAAAAGAGTTAGACATTTCAGCTAAATAAATCAAATATAAAAATCAGGCAATTGAACCAAGAAAGTATGACATTTTTCTTATGATAAAAATAAACGTTTGAATGCCAGTAATTCCAATATAATTAGTCAGACTGAATACGCCAACAGATGCTTACTTTTTCCTCATTAAAAAAAATACTTCCAACAGGCGTGCTTCTGTCACTAACATCATGGAATATGTAGGACTGTAAGGCTCCACACTTGCACATTCTTTAATCGTATAACACTGTATAACTTTGTATGCTGTCCCATTGTATAACATATATTCATTGTAAAGATGTAGCCCATTTCCTTGAGCACTTGGTTTTCAGCCGATGGGTCACGGATTAAAGACGCATTCCACAAAATACTCTAGCCTGGGCAAGTGGGTAGTATTGTAACGACAGAAGACAAGGGCCAGGCAAAAGATCGCTTATTGAGAAAAACAACAGACATTTATATATTTTTATGTACATAATTATTCGTTATTTTAGCAGAGAAACAACGTCTTCTGATTGGTTTTTCTTGCTAAAGGTTATTCTGTACTGCTTGTGACCGTTGCTTAGAAAGTTGCCTATATATCTGCGAATCGTATTTGCACACGCTAAGTTTGCTGTGATTGATTGTTCAGTTTCTCAAGGTTAGGCTTTGTTCTTATTTTTCCTCATGACCCCGATTCGGGGTGCAAACACTGACGTAAATTGTTGTTTACAATTTTCGCTTGAAGACAGCTCTCACCACAGTAACATCAAACCACACAAGAAAAGTGTGGCTCTTACCCTTGTACATGAAAAATCTGTTCGGGCAAGACATTCGCAGCAAAACTTAATGCAGTTATTGAATTTCATACATTAACATGATGATGTATGATGCCACTCATCATCCCAGCATACCTGAAAGGGACTGTGAACATATAAACCACCATTGAAATATTTACTTCTCACAGGTAATGATCAAAGAAGATATGAACTGGAGTCTACTGACATTCGTCTAATCAACAACAGTTTTTCTAACGTCCATATTCAGTTTATTTCGGAAACCGAAAGGTATCTGAATTTCACCTAAGAGTTACTGGTGTCTGACAATTCTGCAGTGAGTTTCTTCCTACTGTATTATTATTTTATTATTATTATTGTACCCTTTAATTCCTACAGGAACATAGGGCTACAGCCGTGCGTCTCCATTGCGTTCGGTTCTCTGCTAGAGTCTTCACCTGGCTCCAAGTTTGCCCACATGTTTTCATCTCCTCTTTACATGACCTCCTCCAAGTCACCCTTGCACTGACGACCAACTCGCCACTTCCCTTTCGGGTTCCACTCAAGGGCTTGTCTAGTGATGTCACTTGATGGTTTCCTAAGAGTAAGTGCAATCCATCTCCATTTCCTCCTGCCTATTTGTTTCACAATCGGTTCCTGGTTGGTTCGCTCCCAGAGATCTTACCCTGTTGCTGATGTTTTCTGGCCGGTCATCTGATCTTGAGTACTGAGCAAAGACAACTGTTAATGAAGGTCTGTAGTTTGTTTGAGATGGTCTTTATGACGCGCAGTGCAAGTCTCTGATCCGTATAGTAGCACTGACTTCCCATTGGAGTACTTTATCATTATTCCTCGGAAACTTTCCGACATTCCAAGTAAATTGGGCACTGTAGTAGATTATATGTGTACAAGTGAATAATTTTATTCGACAAAACGCATAGTGATACAATGTTACATTGATAGCACTAAGTGTAACAATTTGTGCTTGAAGCGTCATCAGTGAATAGATAATACTGTAACATCGGCTGTTTAACCAAACAAAATTATTCTACTATGTAAATTTAATAACAGTAAAGATTAACTTCCAGTTCTCATGGATTAGCTCAATCACATTTAAATACTGATCTGATTGCTTAACATAGGCGTTAAACAGAATTTTCAGTATTTGTGTCATTTAACTTCAAGCAGTAATGCAATCATACAGTAAAATAAATAAACTCGTTTTAAGGAATAGTATTAGGTCAGTAAATGGGCCTGCATCAACTAATTCAATTTGTCAAGGTATACTAATCACTTCAACTAGAATATCACATTGTGTTTACGGTTATAATTAATAAATGAATAAATAACTCTACCTTTCCGCGTTAAAATATGATGTATAGCCCAAACAGCCCACAGATGTATCTCTAAACGACTTTCCGGGTGCAAAACTAACAAACCAAAAGGCTCGAAAGAACGATATGCTACCATTTCAGATTGTGGTGGCTGCCAGTTACAAACAGCTTGACCCTTCAAAAGAAAACAAAAGAGGGAAGTGAAAAAAATGCACATCACACGACTGGAGTGATGCCACAGGAAAGTACCTTCAAAGACTCTAGATAGCATAGTTTAGGTAAATACATGCGTCATTTGCGTTGTCATTTGTCATTTTTATATTTATTGTATGCTCTTATTTTACCTTACAGTATGGACAGTATGAACTTTCATTCACTAACCTTCTGCTTGATTAGCGGGTATGAGACGTAGCAACTTTAAGCACCACATAGTAATAAAAAATCGTCTCTTGATAACTTTTATACATACATGGATAGAAACAATAAATGCCATACTCAAAAACACCGAAAATAAACACAAAATCAGCAATTACATAATAAGCAAAAGGAAAACACAAACAATAACAAATAAATATTTGTCTGCAAGGTATTTAAAACTTCACAACATTATTTATTATGATAGATTTTGAACCATGTCATCAGAGGTATTTCGTGCCTCTGGTTGCTTATATTTTGAAGCTTTAGAAAGGGAATTCAAACTTCATCGCTAAGACAGATCGTACAAGAATTCGTATACATACGATATGATCCTGCTGGAATACTTAATTCTCTCCGACCGCATCGAGGTATATTTTAGTAAGGTGAAGCATAACACATTCATCCAATGTGTATAACCATATAATTTCCTTTTATAAGAACTCAACATGTGACATAAGCACGCCGTACTCTATGATTCTACACTGTAAGAATAGTGCTAAAAACATCTAAGACCTAACATTTGTAGCTTTCTCGTTCCATCAAACTTAGGAGTTACTATGAAGAATCATGAAACAGTAAACAGTGCAATATCATGCAGCACGCCTATACTTCGATAATTAACGAATCATTTCACTTTGGTAAATGTCAAATGATCTTTTGTATATATTGTAAAATTTCGCAGATGACGTTTGTGGTTCCATTGGATGCAAAACTCTTAGGTTCATAGCTAACTACACTAAGTTAATGACATGTATATAGAGACTGGCGATTCCGTGTGCATTTATGTTCGACAATTGAAGAATAGACATGCAATGAGAAATTAAATTAAATGTATGAATTTTAATATTGACAAAGGAAGTAAAGATAAGGATTATGAAAAAGGTTGGAAATAGTCCAGTAAATTTATATGGGATTCCAATACCAGGATACCCAAACCAAGCGGTATCCCATCAGTATCATCTTTATGTCTTCAAATTGAAGGAGGATTGTTTTCGGGTGACGTCACAAGGAGTTTTCATTTCCTTTTCCCATGATCTCCCACGTTTGTCGTCGGATGCCCAGTCTGTCAATTGACACTCAGGTTCTACTCGACGGCCCGGAGTATGACGTCTCCTCAACGCGTGTTTAACGCGCCACCACTTCTTTCTGCATATTTATTGCGCAATAGGCTCTTAGTGGGCACACTACTTTCATCCTTTCTAGCTGGCGAAGGCAGCTGTTGATGGAAGTCTGAGGCCTGTTGTAAATGCGTCAATTCTCTGAGCCATACAGATGCAATCTCTTGACATTAATATTAAAAATGCATATCTTGCTGAGTGTTGTGCATCACTACACTGAGTGGTGAGTATCAGTCTTACTGTCCCAATCTTCGATTGATTTGACATCCTTATCTGAGCCGCCCGTAGTTGAAATTATGCTGCTTAGTTAAGTGAAAGTGACGACTTCCTTTGGGTCTTTCGCGTGAATGGTGATTGCTGTCTGTCTGATGTTAGTCGGGCATCCCCATCGCCTATGTTTTATTTATGTTCACCAGAAGTTCTGTCTTTGCTGCTTCTTCTGCCAACTTGCTGGTTTTTTAAAGTATGTTGAATACTCATGTGATGCAAGTTTTGAAAAAAAATAGGCCTGCAGAGAATATACTTTTAGTAGCTTCTCTTTAAAAACTATGCAGTTAAAGTGCTCTATAAAAGGTTATTCAAATACTGATAAAGGTCTGATATTAATGTCAGTTGGTAACGAAACATGTGGGAAATGGAGAAAACAAGAAACCTAGTTATGTCGTCTTACGTAATCGAAGAACTGTAAGTGATGAGTAGCGTCCAGAAATGATTATCAATAAAACTGCTAGCGCTCGGAAACAGAAATATTAATCATAAGTGTAAGAGATTCAGAATATGTATGAAGCATATTTTAAAGCGCGAATTTTGAAAATAAAGAAAAAACTGGTAACTTTTCGAACGGCTTGACATTACATTATATATTATTTTGAAAGATTTCTCTAATTATACAGACTGATGTGTAAGAACAAGGTGTTAAAGAACTCAGCTATTAGTTCACCTACTTTCTCCCATCGACACCGACACTGAAAGATGTTTTAGTGCACATCTAGAAAAAGTCATAGTGGTAGGGCCTATATACTTAGCTTCATGTAAGCAAGCGTACTTGTATACACACATATATGTTACCAACAGTTGAACATCAGCTTTAACGCAGTGACGAATAAAAGGTTTTCTGGATAAGTTGAGACGCAAAGAAGTGTTTTTCGGACTAAATTTGACAAATGGTTTTGAAGAATTTCAGCTGTTTTGTCATGTTTCAATTTCAGGTTTACAAATAACTTCCTCTATAGTACTTCTGTCTTTTCTGGATTATCAAACTTATTTTTCGTACGCTAACAGATGAATAACGGTGGATAACCATTTTGAATGTTTTTAGATTACGTAAGACTAAGTAACACAACTTATCCATTTCTTTCTTCTTGATATGGAATTTCATGTTCTTTAGCAACTGATATCAAAAGTTAACTGTTACTAACATTTTCATAACCTTTTAGAACACTATTAAACTGTACAGCCTGAAGACAAGTTACGAAAGGAATACTGTTCGTTGGTTTTCGCTTGTGCATTTTCGACTTCATGTGACATGTCATAAATCATCGGCGAAATTCAGACCTTCTAGGGCCCTTTAGTCGATCCAACGGAAACTCGTCTTCTCACTCCTGGTTGTCTGATGCGCGATCCAGTCCACCACAATCACGAAGATCATCCGTGCGGTAGGGAGCCTCTTTTTAATTTGTCTCCGCTTCAGAGAATCCCTTGAGTTTTCCATCGCATGTGGCGTCATTAAACAGCTGTTAAATGAGGTTTGTAAGTCTTTGCAGCATTAAACTTCGTAGTATTGAAACAATTTCCTTGTCCTAACTATTTTCCTTGTTCAACATTTCTATAGAGGTTTCTGTTCACACTTCTATCACAGAGTTGCGGTGTTCTTCAACACAGATTTCTCAGCGATGCAGCTGAATTTCTCTGTCTTTTCTTGATGAATGTAATTGAAGTGTGTCTTGTTGCTTCATGCCTACTTAATCTAACACTTTACTAATGTTTCAGTTCAGTTAATTCTATTCAATAAAACAAACAAAAACTGGGAATAAATTTTCTAATTTAAACTCATTAAGACAAGTAATAACACTATGCATACATGTATTTGACGAAAAGCAAAGCCGGAAACTCACCAATAATTTAACATAACTTTCTTTACTAGACTGAATATTGCGCATCCAAGTGTCGTCTTTCAAACAAGACAGATGAGCAATAATACCGGCAGCAAAATAACTAATTTGAATACATGGATGTCTGAGCATTTTACTACAAATGAAAACAAACAATACTTTACATCTTATCATGTGATTTACGAATAATCAATCTGGGACAGATAATGGCTAATAAATACGATAATCCACACTAGGAAAAACCTAGATGGTGCGTCAACTATTTACATGTGCACCATAAGTACACACGAAAAACATGATACCATTTCTTGCACTTGAATTCATACCTAAACGATGCAAAAAATTGACCTCGGGTATTGAAAGACCGTCTAAATATGATCATTCAGTGCAAATAACCTTATAAGCCAAAGTGACAAGTCTAAACAAATCAATATAGTCAACAAAGAAGTTTAAAAAATAATCAGAAGAAGAGATTTCATGGAGTTGTAGCTACCCAAGTAACTGCACTTTTGTCAAGAAAAATCAATAAAAAAGGGACACAAGTGAGGTGGAAATAACTGTATTATTTCAGAATACAGAAGTCACCCATCACAATACCCTTTACTGCGATTCAAAAAATATCTCAGGCTTGCTTACTCAAGCTCAATTTAACTTATTTGAAATAAAGGAAATTTTCGCCCCAATACAAAAGTACCAAGTGAGCATAGGAAGCTGAATTCTCAAACTTGTAATTAATTCCAAAAATATAATAAAGGAGAATTAAATAAGCTTAACTGCTGTCTATCTTAACAACCTATATTCACAGAAAAAGACAAAGAAGAGTCGAAAGCATACCGGACTAACTGACTGACTGGTTTCGACGTACAACTTTGTACAGATATGCAACAGCTCGAGTTCCCACACTCCCTTCATGTACCATACAAAGCAAAAGAAGAGAGTAAAGAGAGATAATAAACGCAAGTGTGAAGCAAACAGAAAAGAAATAGGGAAGGACCACAGAATTTTATTAGATATGGAAGACCACAAAGAATGAATGCATCTGCGCCATCATCGAGTACGATTTTGAGCCATATCAACAACTACCTCGAGCCACCGGTTTTTACCATCCCGAGGACCCCAAGCAGTCAGTAGTCTACACATCCCGACGTGGCTGGCTTAAACTAACTGGTGTAGATCTCATGGACTGATGCAGTGTTTTCCAACCCGATCCTATGTCATCCGGCATCCCCCATCGAGGAACGCAGTGGCATACTAATAAACCCTTTGAAAGGATCCCAAAATGCCAAACTTGGGATCACTTTAACTGATGGGTGGTAGTATCAAACGGGTTTTGTTGCTTATTCATTCAAAAAACATAGGTCTGTTTGTCTGTTTTCGACATAGAACTTTGCACCGATGTGCAGCAGTTCAAGTCGCCATACTCCATGTAGCACACAAAGTAAGTAGAAGAAATGCAAAATAGAGAGACAGTAAAAAGGGATATGAAACAAAAGGAATAGTTATAACGAAGAACAATATAGTTTCATTGGAAATTGTAAGTCACAAGGAGTGGATGCATCTGCGCTATGGAGAACGATTTTGAGCCATATCACCGATTGTCTCCAGCCATTGGTTTTTACCATCCCGAGGAACCCAACCAAGAAGTCTACAACTTCCTACGTGGCTGGCTTAAACTAACTGGTGTGGATTTCATTGACTGGTGCCATGTTTTGGTTTGACCGCCGCTAGCTCTTTTCCAGCCTGACCCTATATCAGCTAACATTGCCGGTTGAGGAGGGCGATGACTAGGCACACGCAACACATGTCTTAACTATCTGAGTCGATATAGCTTCACAGCCTTGTCGATTGATTTCCCCTCCTTACCTAGCACTCGACCGACACCTAACCTCAGTATTGCTCACCTTATTATACCACTTAACACGGGAGATAGAACGCAGGCACCTATGATCAAAGACAGCTAATCATAGGATACAGGACTATGAATGAATCAGCATTCGGACACAATTATTCCATTTTATTTGAACGACCACGGGCCATGTCTTATACTGTTAACCCTACAACATATGACAATGTAAGACTGATAACTCGAATACTATTTCCCGATGCAGAGGAGAAACTCACAAGGCGATATGGTCACAATATACAGCCACTTATATAGTTATTTCACATGACTAATGAATTACTAGTTTACGATATAAAAATTGTGTTGTGACTGTTTAGCTTGTAAAAATAAAAAGAACAATTTAATGACTGGCCCTTCAACCTAATTTAGGATCAAATATCTTAATTACAGATCATGTGGGTAACACTGACTCATAATATGTCTCCCATTTTAACACCATGAACTTAAGGTTCATCTATCAAGTGTAGGGAGATGCAATGGTGTGACTGATAACAATAGGCATATATCAGCATTTAGATTATGAAACAGTTATCATATGAACTGTATTTGCTATTTAGTATACACCATTTTTTATGCTAAAAGTTACCACTTCAAACACATAGAGTGAAGTTAATTCACTTTGTATTTACAGCCAGTGACTGTGATATTAAATGCTAATATTTCCTCTTACCTGTAATGCCTGTAATACATCACTAGCTTCATTCACTACCTTTAACACACTAAAAGTGCTACCTAGTCCGTCTACAGATCACATGATCAAGTTGAACCACATTCTTTTATGTCTAAAATGTGGGTACGGCTCATGACCTGAGATATAAGTAGATAAGGCGCTAGCAAACAACATATGGACAAAATTCGAATGAAAAAGAAATGGGGTTTCAACTATATCTTTGAAAAGAGGCCGATAAGAAATCTTACAGATGTTAGTGAACATTTCTAAGTCAAAATATGGATGTTCTGATCTAGTGCATTTTGAAATGATGCTCTTCATAATACGGTTATGAATGGTATTATTACATTCAATACAACTTTAAATGAAAAGAGGTGTAATTTCCAGTTGATTATTTGTATCGAGGCCGAGATATTATGAGATCATAGAGGAAATGAACTTAAGACACCATACCATTCTTAGAAGTATATCACTCAAATGAAACAACAGGTGATTAACACAAAAAGAAGCTACAACACAGAGCTCATGAAGAACAGATAAACTGTGGAATGTTCTTACAATGTACGAGACTGAGGAGGCTGCCAAATTGTCAACTGGAGAGTCAGTAGTTTACTCCGACTTGGACACTCAGACGACGACCACGAGCACACTGAGGTAGTGAGTGGCTATAATGATGTCACCAATAGCAGCTACAGCTCTAATGCAATAGTAATCAACCACGCCCGCAGGTTTATGACAGCAGAATTTAACTCACAAGCATAGAAGGAAGGTCACAATTATCATGCAATGCTACGCACAGTGGTAAAAACAACGCAGAACCAGAGAAGGAAGAATTTTACACACAACTACAAGCAGTAATGGACAACATCCCAAATGGTGACATCAAAATCCTCATGGGCGATATGAATGCAAGCCAAACTGGGAGCAGATAATACAGGAAGAGAACTCATCATGGGTCGAGAGGCTCTAACCAGGAGAAATGAATGAGAACAGAGGATGATTCGCAGACTTCTGCCTATTCAATGATCCAGTGATCGGAGACAGCGTGTACAAACACAAGGACATACACAAAGCAACATGGATTTCGCCTGAGAGACACGCCATGAACCACACAGACTTCAAATCAATGTTGCTCAAGACAGTGGAAACCCAGCTTGCTGAACACGAAGTCGAGAAGGGGAGCAAATGTGGGCTCAGACCATCACATAGTTCTAGGAACCTTCAAGGTGAGGCCGAAATCCCCCAAAACAACTGAGGACAGGCCATTGTAATTCACGTTCAACATTCAGAAACTGAAGGACAAAACTACAAGAGATACCTTTACTACAGATCAGATCAGAGCAAAGTCGCACACAATACGTGGTATGACTGAGGAAACCTGTGTGGAAAAACATTGGAACTAACTCTCTGAGGGTGATACTCAAGGAAACATGTACAACTGTTTTAGGAAGAAGGAGGAGACAAGATAAGGAATGGCTCTAAACGGAAACCTACCTGGAAGCTAATAGAAGAGAGGAGAGGAGAGGAGAGGAGAGGAGGATGGTGAAAGAGAAGATGATTCAATGCAAAGATGGACAACAGAGGGAGAAGCTGAGTTCCCAGCAATCTACACTGCTGCACTGAATCAAGAAAGACGTGAAGAAGAGTGCTAGGAAAGACGAAGGACAATTCTACAACACACTGGTCAGCAACTGAAGCAGAAAAGGCCGGCAGGCTCTAGGTAGAACAGACCTCAGGACATTATATGAGCTAACCAGGTCACTCGCTATCCCGGAAGAAATCAACCCAGATGATGAAAACAATAAAAGATGTTCAAGGGAACCTGACTACCAAAGAGGAGAAAGAAAGAAAACAATGGGCTGATTACTTTCAAGGTCTCTAGAATGGACCATCACCCGCAACTCGCCCAGATATACCACTAACGCCGACAACACGCACAGAACTGTCTGCCAGTGGACACCAATCCTCCAACGAAAGCTGAAATACTAAATGCGATCAAGCTGCTGAAGGCATGCTGGGAAGGCAGCGGGACCAGACGGAACTCCCTTCCACTCTGAAGCACTGGAAACGGATCCACAGACTGACGCAGATGCTCTCACACCATTATTACAAAAGGTTTGGAAGGAAGGAAAGGTGCCTACTGATTGGAAGAAAGGCTGGCTACCTTGTCAAGCTGACAAAGAATGGCGACTCACGCCTCACTCTGCAAGAACTGACTTGCGAGGAATAACCCTTTTGTCCGCGCCAAGCAAAATACTATGTCGCGTCATCCTGGAGTGGCTAAAATATGCACTGGACACAGAACTCCGCCACCCACCGACCACAACGAGCTGCTGATCGAGTTGCTACTCTACGCGTCGTCATCACACAACAATGCATAGAATGGCAGTCAAACGTCTTTCCACCTCAACTTCCTTGATCGACTAAGAAAAGGCCTTCGACAGTCAGCGTTGACAGAGAAGTGATCTGGAAACTACTTCAATAGTACGATGGCGTGCAGAGCTCAAGTCTTTGTCAACCTCATTCAGTAGCTGACTATATGACAATGCCTGCCACGTGTTAGTCAGGTGATCCACAAGGAGAAACTCAGAGAGGCGTTCGAAGTGAATACAGAACTAAAACAAGCCAGTCAGCCTGCCTATTATCACACACGATGATATTTCTAATTGTGGTGGACTGGATTATGCGTCAGACTGCGAGTTGGGAGCGAGGAGACAGGAGTACGCTGGACCACCGATCAGAAGCCTTCAGAAGATGTGGATTTTACAGATGACATACGTCTAATGTCGCACATACTCAAAGACTTACAGGCGAAAACCGACAAACTGGCTGAAGAAACAGTTGGCATTGACAGGGCTCCAGGTGAACATAGAGATGACGGAGGTGATGAAGATAGCCAACTAACAACAACAGCAACAACAACCAGCACTGATCACCATCAATGGGAGAGATTTAACAGAGTTTACTTCCTGCCTTCACCTGGCTAGCTATGCAGCATCGTGTCAATTACAGGCAGTCGGAACGGATGAAGATGTCAAGGCCAACCAGCCAGAATCGGAAAGGCAAGATACGCATGCCTTCATCAACCTGAACCCAGTTTGGAAATCTCCTGCACTCAGCCAGCATAAACGACGAGATTCGGATTTTCAAGACAAGTGTGAAGTCAGTCAGTCACTTTTTCTGTGTGAGTCAGAAACTTGCACTGCGTGTCAGTCACGAAAAGGATTTCCGACAGGTTACTACAGGCCTTCATGAACAACTGTCTTCGATGGCTGGCTCCAGACTGAAGATCAAATGGCCAGCCAGAGAAAATTGGTCACAAGAAAATCTGGCTGGGGACAAACCAGACAAGAGCCAACTGCTCAACAAATTTGTAGGAGAAAATAGAAATGGAACGGGAATACGATGGCGGGAGGCCGTCGAATGACATCGCGCTCAATGTAGGTCATCGCTCGAGTGGAATCCGAAAGGGAGGCAACGAGTGGGTCATCCTAGGGTGCCATGGGGGAGATCATGAGAATAGGAGATGAGAGATTATTGGGAATCATGGACCCAGCTGAAGAGGACAGCAGTAAGTAGAAGTGGAGATGCGTTGTTGAAGCCATATGTTCCACTCGGAACTCAAGGGAACAATAATAAAGTAACAATTCAGATATGGATGAAATTATTTCATTCGATCACAATTCAATAGGTACACAAAACCAGAGATTACCAGATGATGATCGAACAGACCACTCGAATTAGGTGAAATTAGGAATGATGACAGTTTGTGACCTGATCCCCTTAGCATTCAACAATACATTCACTGTACTGTTTAAACTAAAGGTAATTGAGTCTGCAAAACTCTACAATCACTTTGATACAAAGTTTTAGTGAAACATTAGCAAATTAGAATACTCCTACAAAATTTAGCTGAGATACATTTTAGTCGTAAAACAACTTTCAAATAATTAACTGAACATTTGTGTTCTAGCTATACTTTAAAAAAATGTAGAATAACGGTGAGACTTTTTCTACTGTAGTTAGAAAAGATATTGACAGACAGCTATTTCGTATAAGTCATAGTTTTATATAATCGTGAGGATAATGAATAAAAATTTCATTCTCTAATAAGTGAAATTTAAAAGGAAAATGTTAAGCAGAACGTTCACACCCAAATTGTAATGCAAATATAAATGGGCTTACAAAAAGAAGTTCATTAAACTTTCTTTCAATAAGGTTTCACGCGTCTGTTCAACTTCCGCAACATTGTTCTATAAAATAAAGAATATTAAATATTAAGTATAAAATGATTTAATGAAATCAAATGGGATATTGGACTGTGGAAATTATTACGAAGCTAATACGACCATTTTCTCTGCTTGTGGATTAGATTTCTCCACATTACAAGATAGGCAGATATTTTACTGTTGGTTCAAAACAGCCAGAAATTTAGAAGATGTAAAAGTCGAAAAGTAACTGTAACTGTAATGAGCATAACTCAGCTTAGTATAGTTTTCACCAGAAATTAATAGTAGTTGAGGAAACTGACAGAATTTAAATACACCGTTCAAGAGATATTGTGGCAGCGCATGGCATTGAAGCGAGTACTGAGGAAGTACGTCACATTATGATACTTTACTTGAATTCATAAAATGGTGTGCGAGGTCACGAAAATATGTTAGTCTACAAACAAGACAACCAGTGGTGTCCATTGGGGATACTCAGTATCGCCTTCCTTATTTCATTTTATTATAGATGTAATGTTGAATATAAATCGGTTTAATTTTGACCATTCTGGAACTGACTTATTACCACGAAAAGATCTCGTTGATTTAGAATACGCGAACACTATAGTCATTTTAGGTAAAGACACTTACCACCGTAAGCATAATTCTGAATATGTATCATATGCAATTCTTGCCTATCAAATGCAAGATAATGCTATAGACAGGTTTGCACCAACTCGTAATTTGCGGATAGGCAACGAAATAATTGGATTTATTGACGCTTCACTTATTCAGGAAGTTGCATGAGACCCTAGTGGCTCGTAGCTAGGCACCGAATTAACTGAATTCTGCCTAACTAACTGCACCAGTCCCCAGTGGAATGGGAGCTCAGGAGATTTTAGTACAGGTCTGGCAACAGCCGATTCACATAATCCTTGGCTCCAGTAAGATATACGTCTAACCATTAAAAGATGTGTGTACTGTGCAGCAGTTGGCTTTTACCTACTTTAAAACTGATTTGAAAACAGCTCACAATGGTGCAGATACACTCACTAATCATTGTATTGTAGATTTTGAACATATTTATCCTTCTTTATATAACTTTTCTCTCATAAAATCTATAGTTATTCATTCGTGTACGATTACATTTGTCTTCTTATTTATGAGTACTTTTGTGAAATGAGATATCTTGTATTGATTCACATTTTCGTCAAGTTCGGAGTGCATCGGTGGTTCAACTGTAGAACACTTATCAACCACACCTGACTTGGTCCGGTGTACTATCCTCGGCTGACACACTCCTAAACCTTCCTAAGCTGATAGGAAGGCTGGTAAGGAGGAAGGTTAGGCGTGCGACTAGCACCTCCACCCTGTAAAAATAACACCGCTGCAATCGAAACTTCAAAGCTTTATGCTTGAAGCCCTATGTTCCACTCGGAGGGTAAAGGAATCAAACTTATTAAATCAATTAAAAAAATTGGAAAGTTCGACATTCATTTATCGGTCAATCTCTAGTCAGCATTACTGACGATCAATTAATTTTTTTAAACAAAAATAACTACAGTTCTTTCAGACTTTTATGATAAGAAGTGGGGTAGAAACACCAGCAGGAAGATTTTGCTCCTTGCTATACATTACTAAACCTCCCTTTCTAAAAGAACAACCCTTAGTGTGGTAAGTCCCCACCAATAACTGGAAATTTTATTCATCTTATAAAATGATCTATTTACAGTGTTGAACAAATTAATGCATTAATTACAACTGTCTATGTTCTCCATTAAATTATTTATTGATAAAAACTAGATAAGAACTGGAAACTGCATTGATGATTATCGTCTATTTATAAATTACAGATTATCAAGATGCAGTACAAGATCCCAGTGATACAGACCAATCAATCAACGACTAACAACTGCAAAATGTATTCATATTTCTTTTTCTTGAAGGTTGTATTAAATCTCACGTGTGTTTCTTTTCATTGTATCCTTGTTTACTGCTTTTCCGATCCTCTCAGTCGGCTTTCTCAAGTTTATTGAGTTTTGTTAAATCTGCTAAATTTTACAGTCAATTTGAAGGAATTATTCTATAGAGCTAAAGTACTGTGAGTAAATTGTTGTTTCTGAAGGCGAAATCAACACTCAAACATATATCGATCTATAGATACACAAATTTTTTGTCTCTGTACAGAATTTAGTTAACTTTCAACTGAGTAAACTACCTTCATCAGATAGATGGTCTACACTTCAAAGTCAAATATTTCAATAACATTTTTAGGACACAGAAATGTATGAAAACTATTTTTTTTTTATAAATTTACTACTAGCAGATACGGTTTTGCTGGCAATTGAATTACTTTACTGTTTTCTGCTCATACATTTGAAAACAAAATTAACAGAAAGCGACGTGAAGCAAAGAAAAGCTTGGCAATAATAACGAATTACTTAGTATGAGAACTAAGAATCTTTACGAAGACAGTTTTCTTTCATAGTGTTTTCCTTCGATTAATTGTCTAGTTGGTAATTTGGTTTTTAGTTTACTGTTCCACAGTTTACAAGGTTCAAAATAAATATTCTGCTTAACAGGTATCCAAGAAACACGGACAAGTTATGATTACTCAACTGTAAATCATGTTATTCATTTTCTAGACTAAATGCTTTTGTTGAGTAAATGTACTTTTTTTCGCGTGTTGTTGTCTAGTTCTCCGAGTTGTAGATTAAGGAAATAAACTTGAAAAGGATTAACATGTATATCACCACTTATTCTGACGCGTTAATATGGGGAATGGGAGTCGAGTGCAGGAGAAGTAGATAGGCCGTAATCATGTGAAAATACAGTTATCTTTATAACTATCATTCCACCGTGTTATACAAGTTTCCACGTACATATGTCGTTATAACAGGACAGGGCTCCAAAACCATCAGCAAGCCCAAGACTGTTAGATCCGTTTATTACTCACAGTATCTTAAACACAGAATCAGCTCAAACAGTAAACAGACGTGTTGTTGTTGAGATAGTTTCTGAACCTCAGACAAATTCAGTTAACAGGTTGAAGGGCAACTGTCCTCAACACTTTACAGCTTGCGTTGATTAGTGACACACTGCACCTGAACTATAACTGTTTAACATTTGTTGTCAATTCAGAGTTCGCCAACATGAACAGTTACAAACCAAAAATAAATTCACAATAAACTACTTTCTTTTCTAAAATATAATACAGTTCAAGTTCTTTCTCAATTTTAGTCAACGAATCAAAATCATTTTTAAATAATGAGCATAATAATTGATCAGTTCTTAGAATTATTGATCAGTGAGATAAAAGCTAACAACTGCACGAAAAAATAGCATACACAATTTAGAAATAGGAGTGATACCAGCTGATGACAATGAAACATGCACAACACACCTATATGTTTTTATAATAGAAAACTCACAAGCAGGCCAAGACACTTTGTATAGACATGGTTCTTAGTCTCTTCATTTTGATCAGCGAATCGCTAGAGAGAGAGAGAGTAAGAGAGAACAGAATACAAAGTCACGAAAAAATAGGTAAGATTAAATGTGTGTAAGTGCCTGAACATATATGGTATTAGTGTGTACACTAGCGTATGATCAATCTACAATAATGAAAAAATTTGATTTCGTTTAGCTTAATTCACACATAAATTGGTCATAGCTAAACACTGAATATATTTCAGAATTAAATAATCGACAAATGTGTACTTAAAACAGTTTACAAACATCAGTCTGCAACCTCTTAGTAATATTGCTACACTCGTGAAGCAATGACAACTGACTGATTCATGAGAGTTAAAAGGATACTGAAATCAAAATAAACAGCATGGTGACAAATTCATTACAAATACAGTGCACAGTGTATTTGCAATAATATAAACTAAGATGTTACTTAAACATCATTCCACTTGAAATCTAAATTGAATATCACGACATAAGAGACAGCAGTACAACTTGAGAAGCGTTATACTTCCAATGCTATCAATTCAATAACACTAAATTATAAAACTAACACATCGTAATTAAATGTCCAAAATATTATCAAAAACGAAGCCTTTCAGGTGTCACTGAGATAATTTCAGGCATTGACTAACTGACTGACTGACTGCTTTCGACGTACAACTTTGTACAGATATGTAACAGCTCGAGTTCCCACACTCCATTCATGTACCATACAAAGCAACAGAAGAGAGTAAAGAGAGATAATAAACACAAATGTGAAGCAAACAGAAAAGTAATAGGGAAGAACAACAGAATTTTATTAGATATGGAAGACCACAAAGAATAAGTGCATCTGCGCCATCATCGAGTACGATTTTGAGCCATATCAACAACTATCTCCAGCCACCGGTTTTTACCATCCCGAGGACCCCAACCAGTCAGTAGTCTACACCTCCCGACGTGGCTGGCTTAAACTAACTGGTGTGGATCTCATGGACTGATGCTGTGTTTCCATTTGACCACCGCTAACTCTTTTCCAACCTGATCCTATGTAAGCTAACACTGACCATCGAAGAAGGCGATATCTAGGTATGCGTAACACATGCCCTAACCACTTCAATTGATGTAGCTTCATAACCTCCTCGATTTGCTTTCCCTCCTAACTCGAATACTACTCACCCTATCGTATCACCTAACATAGGAGAAAGAACGCGGACACCTATAATAAAAGAAGGTTAGGCTTTTCATGTTTTCCATTTTCAATGTCCATGCGTTACAGCCATAAAAAAGGACGGAGAGAACCTTTTGGTAGTACACAAGTCCTTCGATCGATGGTTGGATATCACGTCTACGCCAGAGATGATTTAGGTTAGGGGATTACACACTAGTCTTTCTTATCCGTGCGCAGATTTCTTCAGCAATCAGCCCCTTAGGGTTGATGCAACTTACCAAATAAGTGAAGTGGTCAACACGCCCTACCACTTTACTCACTGTCTTTAAACTAAGAGTCACTATAGTTCAGTCCTGTAGCATCATCTTACAGCTGACAGAAACAAATAATATGCCAAACATTCGAAGACTGCTGCTTAAGGTGTTCAGAAGATTCTACATTTTATCAGATATGATGAGTGTAAAGCTCAAACACAATGTTTGACGCTTTTTATTGACTGAAACACACTTGTCTCAGACCAAAAAAATGATAGGTTCTTCTGATTCAAATACTACTGTCTTTTTTCTCTCTGATACACGCCTGATAAAACTATAGAGTCAGTAGTAAAAGCTAAATGTAGACAATCTTCCTTAGAAGCAGATGTAACTGGTCTATGAAGTGCTTCATCTGAACAAAATGATTACACCATAAAAATTTACACATATTCAGATAAACTGATGAAAATGAAAAATCCACTTTGATAGCAGGAAGGTTAAAAAAGCAAGAAGTAAAGGAATACTAAAAGAAAGGTGGTATTGGGTTAAGATTTTCACATTTTATTTGAGGAAAGTGCTGTTTACTTGACGCTGAAACAATAAAAACGGAAATAAATTACCGTAGACGTAATTATATCAATAACAATATTTCCTATTGGTTAATCAATGAAAGGAACAGCAAGAATTTCTAATTAAGAACTGACAAAGTGAAAAACACCAACAGAAGATACAGGGGACAGGATATATTCGTAGCAATCGAATAGTCGACCACTTCCTAAACAGTATATATGAATGCAAGAGACAGGAATTCTGAAGTGTTTTTCAAAGAGAGCAAACGATTACGGTCAATATAATGAAGGAACCAATTTAGAAGAATGAAGACTAATAACTCGACAAAGTATAATTACCAACTACATAACTATCACAACTCATTTCATCAAACCGTTAATCCATTAGAAACTAAAATGAAACACAAATTATATCCACCTAACTTCTAACTAACATCCTGAAAAGAAAGCAGTCTGCTTCAAACAAATTATGCGTAACCACTAGGATTTCAGTCATCCTTAAAAACAAGCTTAATTATGCTAGTATCTCAGGATGTGTATTGAAAGCAAACGATAGAGGTAAATATAAAATTACTCAAAATGGATACACCCCCAGTAAAGTAGAAATATACCTTTAAAACTTTTTCATAAATAATTAAACCACCCTGGCGGACAAATCTTAAACAAGCTTCAGGGCATTCATCAGTTAGATTCCATAGGGCAGATAAAGTAAACCTCAAGGTGGTGTCAAAAATCGGCGGTCCTTCAGTGCGCAGACGCAACTGTGGCATATAACTACGTAAACACGAACCAAGATCCGGTACATCTGATACCAAGAGGCATTTATCAGCAACATAGCTCAGAAGACATTCAATTCTCCTTGGATCTCTAGCTAAATCGGATAATCCAGACGTGGAGATCTGAAATTGCAATTTGGAAAAAGAAACAAATGATTCGACTTTATGAATAGAGAGAGTCTTACAAAAGATAGAGTTTTGTGAGACAGGTCAACAATTTAGGTATATCAAAAAGTATTAATGCAAGGAGTGAAAAATAATAATAATAATGCACAAGTACTGTACTGATGAGTTAAAGGCCGCTTAATCTGCTTTGGTTTAGCCGGTGAGACAGTTCTAGCACTACTAGTAGGAATAACAAACATCTACAAAGTTGCTACTATATTTCTACTCTCTATCGATTAATTTTTTTATTGGAATTTAATACAAACTATTCGCTCATTTTACTTCACCAAACAGACACCGTAAGCCCATAAGTCAAAACATTTTCTTCCATATGCAATTAAGTAGTTGATAACGGTGAGATATCTATCTGGTGTACCTATTACTCAATATGAACCATTCCGTCTGGAGGCAAGGTACCATTTTCATTCAGGCTGAGATAATATAAGAAAGATCAGAACATAGCGTGATATTAATCCAAAAAGCCAGTACACAATCCAGAACCATTATACAATTGGGAGTAAATAACTTAAAAAATACAAGATGTACTTCAACATCTCTTGCAATGATCCAAAGCGATCTGCCATTATTCACTACGTATTCGTCTACTCAGCGATGCAGTAGTTCCTTTTTTAAATGCTGTAAGGTAACAGTGACTTATTGTGCAAATGATCTAGCAGTGAATAACAGCAAAGTTCTTTTATGAATGCTACACACTGACTAAATCCCTACTACAACTAGGCTCGGTAAACATACAAAATTGCACAAAAAGTGATGAAATATGGAAGAAGAATAAAAAATAGTCTTTAAAATGGACAAGGTATATTTCTGACTAGAAAAGATAACTACAGTGATATATCAGATACCATCATGTTATTGAACAATTTAACAAGGTGACCAAAATGTAGGTTTACCTCAGCAGCCAGTATTGAAATTATTGCCACACCCATACGTTTCATATGAATGTCATCAAACGCAAGCAGGTTGTTGAAAACCAATTCACAACACTGGATACAATTGAAAGTCTAAATAATAAAAGTGTGTACAAAAAAGCGATAATCATCATTAACATTAAAACAAGATCCATATTAAAAAGTAGGCAGATGATATATAATATAAACAGTAAATAGCAGCAGACAATCTCACACTGGCAAATTTTGTTCTCTGCATGGCCGGTAACTAGCAACAAATAGTCCCGATGGGATACTACAAGAAATTTGAATACTAGCAAACATCACATAATTCTACTGATTTTATGACAAAATCAAAATAGTTTCCTATATTCTTATTCCACAAGAATTTGTAATTAGGGCTTTTAAAGCTTTAGTAAAATTATAAACTCGGCATTATTTTTTCTGCATCGCTTTAATGACGATGCATTTACTGACAAAAAATAAACGAGAAAATATTCTACTGATAATGTAATCAGAAGACTGTCATTATAATTCTTTTTTTTTAATGAAAACTGTATGCACACTACATCAGTGAAAGTAGCAACCAATCACTTCTTTGATTTTTGATTTGAAAAGTAAAGAAAACGAAACAAGATAGCAATTTCACAAAAGCTATTTATTTTAATTGATAATGTACACCTAAAATGCTTGCAATTACGAAAATCAACATTGTAAATATTTAGCAACGCAATAAGAGGAAAAGGTATTGGAGAAAGGTAAATGTAATTCTTAAAGTTAACGTTTACTGAACTCTGATCCTTTAACTGAAAGTTAATTTAGGTAAAAGCAATCAATGTTGTGTCCTAGTAATCAATAATACAAAGCTATCAGGTATGCAAATTTTGTGCTTAGCTGAAAGTTAGCAATGTGGCAACGACTCATTGACCTAAGCACTCAACTCACACCCAATAAGTCCTAGGTTAGAGCCCCACTCTACCTATATTAGCCTGCGCGCAACTGGATAGTATGATCAGCTCTCGTACATGCTTGGCTCATAGCCTGACTAATGAAAAATCCGTCCCAAGTAACTGACTTCAGACAACTAAAGCTTTATAGGCCGACTGCACTGATCAAAAGCGCTCAATATTTACAAATAAACCTATTATCACTTTAGCTCACTACGAGCTTAAACAGTAAAACAATCAAAGTGCAACTAATCAGCTAAAATCAATCAAAATTGTACGGATGGCTTACTCCTGTGTTATAGAGAGAATTATGTATGTATATTTGTTCGTGTTAAACAGCTCGGACAATTATTGAGAAAAATTGATTCAAATTTCACAATAAGAAATAAAGTTTATAAAAAATATCCCAACTTAAATATGAACTGTTTGTAAAGAAAAAAAGTCATGTAAAAATTGCACGATATTGTAATTGCACTCAGGTCACTACGTTTATCGTACAACTACTGTTTATCCCGTTGCTTTACAATTTAAAACCCGTTTGATTTTTAAATCTATAATTGTATTCTACATGAAGAAGCACGCGTAGCGTAACCGGCCGTAATTATAATGATATATTTGATTTTATGACTGTAAAAACCCGAAGAAAATCTACCGAAAAAAAATATCCTTCACTCAGGCAGAAGTCTAATTCATAAATTATTTCTATCTTTAGTCTTACCCTATACTACTTAAAATAGTAATCATCTTTCACTTTTACCTAGGTCGTTTTATCATTTTAAGAGTTCAGCATCTATACACTTGAAATATCAAATAGGAAGAACGCATAATACAAGCCTTTATAAATTAAAATTAAAATTACTAATAAGATGGTAGTGTGGAACTAATATTTATTAACCATGCAAGGAAAAGCTAATCAAGGAATCTAACGTTAGGTAACTTCATTCGCTATAGCATAGTGGTGTTTTGAGAACATTTTGATATTCATAAACACGCAATGTAGTTAAAGAGACTTCCACCTAGCTTTGGTTACTTTTCACTACTTTATGTTTTTCGACTTCATGGAGGATTTCATCATGAGCTGACATCAGTTAGAGAACCACTGGAAAACCTAGGAGTACTGGATAGCTGTTTCGTCCTCGTTTAGGACTCTTCATCAGTACGCGTCCACCAGGGTTCGAACCCAGGGCCTTCTGGTTACAAGGCGAGCTCGTAGGCCACTGGGACCCAATCCAATGGTCCTCGAATTCAAGGACCCCGGTGGGTGCGCACTGATGAAGAGTCCCAAATTAGGACGAAACGGCTGCTCAGTACTCCTAGGTTTTCCAGTGGTTCTCTAATTAATGTTAGCTCATGATGAAATCCTCCATGCAATCAAACAAAAATCCCTACAAAACCAATACTTGAAAATTTTTCGACTGGTCTCGATTGGTCTGAAATCACGATCACTATGTGTTTTTTAAAATACTTCATTTAACTGTGACAACAGATAGCTTAAGTCGATAAGGTTTGTCTCTCATTAGATACTTAAATACCACTCTTAAGTTTCCTCCTTAAACGGCTTAAAATCAAGAAATCGACCATACTTGAAAAAAAAAATACTTCAGAAGAACAGCAGACATGCAAAACAAGCACGTCTCAACGGTTTGATTCTCTTAAGAAAACCTGACAAGGAATTCTTCATCAAAAGAATGAATTTAATGCACGCCTATTAATATTTATTAGACTCCATATCTAGAGAAATAGGCGTGATAATAGTCTTCATAAAACACGTTAGATAAGTCAAAAATATTCAAAATATTTCTACTTACGGCACGATAAAGTACAGTATCACTGCACAACGTCAAAAAGCAGTTCTTCTGTAACTGTCTATTATCTGGAAACTTTTCCATAGCAGTTAAAGTCATACGGACGGCGCGATTCAACAGATCTAAGGGAAGTTGGTTGCTTTGCTCACTTCGTGTCAAGTTGTATATCACAGCCGTCCCAGCCAATATCATTTCCATTCTTCTCAAGTGTAACCTCATCACACGTAAAACAGCCTGAAATAGACAAATACAAAATATGTTTATTCACAAAAACTCATTCATCATTCAAATACATACCTCATACGTCTTATGCATCAGAAAATGCATTACACAAAATAATATAAAGCGAACAGAATAGGATAGACAGTTGAAGTATACCAGGAAGAATACAAACACAGTCGCAGGAAATGATTCACAATGTCTAAGTCTCATGGGTATGGAGGAGAATCGCACATCAAGGCGGCGTCAAAAACTCGACCTTTAAAAGATCAAACTGACATCCCAAGGGTCCAGACGTGGTTGGTGTATAACATTGGCTTTCGATATGTGACTGGAGATGTGTATGAAATGTCACTCAAAATAAATTTCTATGCACTTGGTAATCAGCAAAACTTATGGTATAAAGGCGGGTTGTCCAAACCTCAGATGGAACAGCATTCTAATCCGTAACTCACTGGTTGAGTGCATAAGCCAATCAGCCACAGCTAAGAATGGGAGCAAAAAATCTATCTCAAGAGACTTCTTGTGGTTTTTGAGTATTCCGAGTTTCTTACAGATCTACGCACCACTGTTTGGTCAAATTTACCAATCGTAGAAAATTATGCCTTACTGCACAGAACGCTGATGCTAGAGATGTGCTAAACTGCTTTTCAAAGTACTCTGCTCATAGTTCCAGGGTTCTTAAAAAATTGCTCATTGATATACAATTCAGACAATCTCACTGACAGTAGTCTTTATGATTTTGACAGTCCAAAAATTTATAACAGCATTCAAATGTTGTTGTATAAAGCTAGTCAGTTATCCCGCAACAAGCAAGACATCTCATATCAACAGTTATCAATCTTGAAAACTAAATTCACATTTTGAAAACACCATTCAATATATCTATAGGACAATCAAAATCTGACAATAAAATAAGCGATAAGTTTGCACATACATCACATCCCACATTCTTGATGTAGTTGTGTTCTCTGAGCTGGATGGTTTATTTGTGAAGCTTTCATCGCCCTACTAGGCAACATCTTCAGAGTATGTTTCAATTTGAAGTGAGCTTTTAAACACACAATAAGAGTTGCACACAAACATTATTCAAGACAGCCTGGACTCATTGTAGCACTCCTACCTTAAGGAAAATTGAAGAAAAATACCTCATGAACGTCTTCCAAAAGAATGGATATCCATGAAACTTCATCAAAACACATCTACCCTCAAGCCAACCAACCGAATCAAAGGCCCCCAAGGGAAATACAAAGAAAATCATCTTACCATATGTAAATGACGTCTCAGAAATCACTGCAAGACTGTTCAAACTTTTAGGAATTGATATCGCACATAAAACAACAAAATCTATTCACGCAAAAGACTCAACAACGAAAGAAGATAAAACCAACATCATCTACAAAATAAATTGCAACGGCTGCGAAAAACACCACACTGGCCAAATTGGACGTCCTCTTCGCCTTCGCATCTATGAACACAAACTAGCCATCAAAAAACATGATATCCACTCTCTCATATCACTGCATACAGACAACCACAGACATCAATTCGACTGGGACAACGGTCAGATATTAGGAAGAGGAAGCACCAAGAACACCAGAGAATTTTTGAAAGCCTCTTATTCCAGTGAGTCAGCAGTTAACAGACACAATGATATAGATAAAATATACCAATCCATGAGAGGCAAAATCATATGCACAAAAAGTCCAACTTTAGGTCAAGGAAACAATCAATGCCAATACAAGTAGATTAGAGGGTGTGAAGATAGACAAGAGCAGCCAATCACGTTTAATGTCATCAGGAGAGATGACTAATAAACTTGTCGGGAAACTTAAAAGCTCACTTCAAATTGAAGAATGCACTGAAGATGTTGCCTAGTAGGGCGATGAAAGCTTTGCAAGTAAGTCATCCAGCTCAGAGAAAATAACGAAATCGAAATCATGCACCTGAGCTACAAATCTTCATCATTATATCTACATCGCAAATTTGCTCATAATTTCATCAACACACTAGTTGCCTCCATCTAAATACTCAGGAAAAAATCGAGAGAAAACAGATGAAAGGGACCACTACCCCCTAATGAAACACTTCTTAAGAATCAAATCTAACAGTAATACTGATGCGTTACAGATAAACTTTCAATACTTGCTCTAACAGTACTACCGAACTCTGAGTAAGTGGAGTCTCATGTGTATTTTGTATGAAATAATTTTACCTACTTACCTGTAGAAGATCTGGTTTAACACACTCACGGTTGCTAGTAGCCTCGAAGATACTGTGAAGCGCATGTTGGAGGTAAAAGGCTCTATCTTTATTACGCGTCAAAGTATTCAATAGTAATTCATCGCCTCTGTCTCCCAGCATCTATACGGTATATGGAAAAAATAACAAGTTATGTGATGTACTTGTCTAACACAAGCTTTTAATGAAATGCTTTCTACTAGTCTTAACTAATTTCATATTAAATAAGTCCATTTTATATAACACACAGTGATATAGTACTGCGAACTGGATGGCTTTTCGAGCATAATTTATTAACCATAATCCCATCATGTCACATTGATATGATTATGAACAACAAATTGTACTCAAAACGTCATCACTTATCAGTACTGTATCACTGCGAGTTACATAAACTTGTCTAACACGGAATTACATTCTATCATAGTAACTAAATTCTATACCTAAATTAATCTTAACTAAGTATTGTTACTTAATCACTAAGCCAATGGCTGTGTAACTTCTGTTTCGCCATTAATGAAATTAAAAACAAAAAGTTGTTAGATAATACATTTCAATTATATATATATATATATATATGTACATATATATATAGCTGGTAATGTGGAACGTAGTGATTCTATAAGCAATGGGATTACGTACAGTTGTGGGAAATCATCGGTGCCAAATGAAATAGCCTCACATTCAAAATAAAATAGTAAGTACATTTTCGGGATTATCCACTTTTATCCCCAGTGAATGAAAGCCCGAAAAGCGGATAAGGCATTAAACTATAGAACTGTAAGGTCAAAAATTAGATAAAACCAACCGCTAGACATACTAGCACTATTACACAAACCATAATTTATTAATAAGCGTTACATGATGAATACTTTTGTTACATATTAGATAATTTTATTCAATATAACACACAGAAACAATATTACTAACTGGATGACGCCTCCAGCACAGTTTATTCTTCATAACCGTACCACTGGTATGATGCAATATGCTTACTAGCAACAAATAGTGCCCGAAACGTCATCAAGTTACTAACACTGTATCTTTAAACGAGTTGATCACGGACTGATATCAGTTAGAGAACCATTGAAAACCAGGGAGTACTGGACAGCTGCTGTTTCATCCTAGTTTGGGAATCATCGGCAGTACGCACCCACTGGGATTCGAACCCAGGACCTTCCCGTTACAAGGCAAGCTCGTATACCATTCAGCCACTGGGACCAGATTCAATGGCTCATGAATTCTAACTTCTACTAATTCGTGATTTTAGCGCGACCCCACCTATTGTCGTTGGTGGGACATCCATCCACACACGTGACTTCTAATTGGACCTCACTGGTCAAGACTTCAGGTTGGAGCTTCCTGGAGTTCTAGTGAGAAGTCGTGACCAGTGAGGTCCAATTAGAAGTCACGTGTGTGGATGGATTTCCCACCGACAACAATAGTTGGGGTCGCGCTAAAATCACGAATTGGTAGAAGTTAGAACTCATGAGCCATTGAATCGGGTCCCAGTGGCTGAATGGTATACGAGCTTGCCTTGTAACCGGAAGGTCCTGGATTCGAATCCCAGTGGGTGCGTACTGCCGATGATTCCCAAACTAGGATGAAACAGCAGCTGTCCAGTACTCCCTGGTTTTCAATGGTTCTCTAACTGATATCAGTCCGTGATCAACTCGTAAAACATAACTAATCCTTACAAACCAAACTTTAGAAAATACTGTATCTGTATTATAACGAACAAACGTATCTAACATAGAACTGAGTTCTACTGGAGTCCAAATTCTGCTACTGCATGCACTTGACTGTCTTATACTCCTCACGCATTAATGTGTTGAGGAAGCGCATGTAAAATTTAACCAATTTTGACTTCACCTCACTCTAATCTTGTCATTCATAGCGGGGACGCTAAGCGGTCAGTCTACACCTCCCTACGTTCCTCAAACCAACAGCCAAAGACTTCATGGACTGATAATGCACTTCGACTTTACCACCCCTAACTCTACCAATCTAAACCCATGTCAGCTAATACTGCTCGTCGAGGAAGGCGATGGCTTGATATATGGAATGCTAAGAACCAATGGGTGGAGATAATCGGTGATATAGCTTAAAATTGTTCTGAATGGCGAAAATTTATTTATTCTTTGTGATCTGACATGTCCACTAAAACCTGTTGTTTTTTTCCACGTAACTATTTCCCCCTCGCATATCTGCTTATTTCCCTCCTTGTGAATCTCTCTCTCCCCTTTTCTTCTTTGTGTGATACATGGAGTAAGCCAACTTGAACTGCTGCATTCCTGTGCAAAGTTCTGTGTTGAAACTCAGTCAGCCAGTCATGCACAATAAGTGGCTTAGCCACTTCAATCGATATAGCTTCATAACACCATCGACTAACCCTCTTTACTAAAAATTAAGCCTGGCGTCAATATTGTTCACCATGTTATACCACTTAACACGGGAAACAGAATGCAAACACCTATAATCAAAGACAGCTGGCATCTTCAAGTTCTCTACTTTCAACAGGGATGCATTACAGTTGTAATAAGAACCAAGCAGACTACTGTAAATTACACGTCCCTTGATCAGTAACCGGATATCACGCCCACGCCAGAGATGACGTTGGTTGGGAAATGCCACACAAGCCCTTTGCATCCGTGCTGAGGTTTCGTAACAGTCAGTCCGCTAGGGCTGTTGAAACTTCATAAATGACTGAGATGCTCAACACGCTGAGTCGCTCCACTCCCTACCTTTAAACTAGGAGTGTGCAAACCAGTTCTCTGGCGTTATCTTACAGTTTACAGGGGCGAGTCATATGCCGGATATACCAAGATTTCACCTCAAGATGTACAGAAGAATGCGTTATGACAGCGTCTTCAACTAGAAGGATTATATTACTTGTATACTCCACATTAACTTGACCGTACCATGGTGACAAGTTAATCCCTATGTTGCTCAAGTTGATCAGAGTCAAATCCAACTGTACATCTATGATGATATTATATAGAAATGGAGACATTGGTCATATATGACGAGCACCACTGGTTATCATCACTTCAGATGAGAACTCCCCACAAAGTCTTACACGGCTGAATGAGTCTGAGTATAATCAATAAATGATTAGTACGATATACTTTCTCGGAACGTCCTGCAAGCCTGCACAATGCTACGACACTTGTCGTCAAAGTCAAATGCTGCTTTGATTTGGGGAATTATTGCAAGTGTTGGATACCAGTAAGCGCAATTATGTTCCAGTGTAAGTGTCGTTTATTGGCTTAAGCAATCAACCTTCAGTCAATGAGTCTCGGATTTCAGTGACGTTCCACCTACTCTACCTGAGCAACTAGTTTGTATCATTAGCCCCCACACCATTATTGTGGCTTATAGCCCAGCACTGGGCAACTTTTGGTTTTAGCTTATCGAAATCCTTCACGTCTTCCTACAGCTCACTGAATATTGTACCAGGCTTCCTTAGAATGGGTCTTGTTGTCAATCTTAGATACGCAATTAGCTACTTCTCCCTTGAATAGAGATTTAATGTCCTCATTAATTTGAGGACGTAGCGGTTTTACCGCTGCTTGTTTTTGATGTTCGTTCAACCGTAGACATAAACATGCACGGACAAGAGCAGCATCGGAGTCTGAGCAAGTGTTCCAGTTTTTTTGGGGGGCTATTTTCTACTGACCCTCCCCCTCGAGAGCTTATCATTATCTTGTTTATTTGAGTTCGTCGTTAATATGATGATCGAGGTTGTCAGGTTAGGCAATGCACCTTTGTGTTTCAAGTCACTGCTGACTAAGAAATGACCAGTAGGGTGCAGCAGGTCGGGTGTGAGCACAAATACTCGCCGAAGACATTGGCTAGCGGTTGCGCTATATCGTGACTTGGCAGAAGTTAGAATTCATGAGTCATTGGATCGGGTCCCAGTGACTTAATGATCTACGAGCTAGCTCACCTTGTAACCAGAAGGTCCTGGGTTCGAACCCCGGTGGGTGCGTACTGATGAAGGGTCCCAAACTAGGACGAAACAGCCGTCAGTACTCCCAGGTTTTCCAATGGTTCTCTAACTGATGTTAGCTCATTATGAAGTCCTGTAACCAATCAACCAAATCCCTACAAACCAATACTTGAATAAGAAAAGATGCGTCTAAACAGAACCGTAGAAAATTATCACTGTAGTCTGTCCATCAGTAGGGAACTCCAAGGGTGCCACCGATATATTTTTATAGCTTGCACAACTTCCCTACTTGAAAATTGAAGTCTCCCATTAGAACAACTCTATGAAAGTTCCGCTTTTAGTGGAGAACTATACAGCTTTTGATAGGACTCATCCTCTGCTTTATCCGAACTTTAGTCGGTCGGAAAGTAAGCGGAGATTAGGAAAAAACATCTACGAGTATCACAGTTTTTCCTTCTTCCCACCACGGTCTGTCCGGCCGGACAGCACACATATGACTATCCACTGGAATCCAGTCAACTAGGGATGAATACCAGGAAACTATGGGTGTTTCTGCCCTAGCATTCAATGATGTTTCTAGACCTGCAAGTCTACCGGAACTAGCTGAATAATCTCTTGACACCCATAAGGTGGATTCTGCAGACTCCCCGTTGGCCAGGGATGGGGGTAAGTAAACAACCACACTCTCCTCTTGTATACGTCTTCAAAACAAAACAAGCATCCACGTCTCGAGATGCCGGGGTCCTGACGCTGAATGCTCCAATATGAAGTGGACAGAGTAGTTCTAAGTGACTATCGGAAGTGTTCTTGAAGCTTTATTCAATATTAATGGTCACGGAGTCAAGTGAAGGTGAGAGACCTGCCTGTTAAATAGTACTAACAACGTGGAGGAAGTAAAAGATTAATGCAAACAAAGGTGTGTGATTATCACGAAAGCTTTGAGTGGCTTCCTCGCCGCCCACGCTGTGGAAGGTGATTTGTTCTTGGACCACCTGAAACAGAAGGAGCATCGATGTTGTGTAACCACGGAACCCAGGAGAAATCTGCTTGAGATCTGTCACACACGGCCTGCTGGAAGTGGCTTTAAAAGTTGTGTCCGTGTATAGATCTCACTCCCAGTTATGGACCCCCTACAGATAAGTCGGGATGTACAATCTACGGGTTCAACCTTTTCTAACGCAGCTCTCCAAAACAAAAAGGCAGCATAGTTGACTTACTAGTCGTCCGAGGGGAAAACCTTACTTCTGGTACATCCTATTTAACAGCAGTACAACTTCTCGCTCAGATCCTCCAGCATAGTGAACGGACTCCTTTCAATATAATGACTACCCAGACGACCGTTCTGTCACGGTAAGACCTGCAAGAAGACTAGTTCAACGAGTGTAGCTCGTTGAGACGTGCAAGTCTGACCAATACATTAAGGTGGCAGTTATCGGTTTGGAAAGTGAATGAAATTAGCCAGAAATAAAATAATTAAGACTAAGATAAAGGACGGTTTAGAATGCATAGTTTCCTCTTTAGTTCATGTACAGCTAGTGTTTCAATCATATGTAGGTGACAAAAACGTAATATGCTAATTCACGATTACATACAAAGCAACTAAGAACTGAGAAAAATTTCTACGCCTATAACAGTAATAGAGATGACCAGATGCAAAATCATGTCCACATATTAAAGGCTGCTTAATCAGCTGTATACAGAGTACTGAGTAACGGTACTGCAATCTTTAAAATTATTCAGTACTAATATCAACATTCAACTTACTGTAATATGAGGATACTGATGAGATAGTCTGTAAATTCCCTCCAACTCATGTTCATGACTAGAAAGCCAGGAAGCAAACCCAGCAAATGTAAGTCTCGGATGGTTCTCAAGCAAAGTCCTATGAAGTAAAGCTGAATGTATGAAAATGTTTGCTCACCTTGCATCACTGAGTTTTAACCCAAACTGATTTCCTGACAAGTCTATGTGTTCCAGGAACGGCAGAGCTTCAGAGGAACAAAGTTTATCAACAGCATTAAATCTCCCGGTATTAGTACGTGGTTTGTCAGACACATCAAGTATACGAAGTTGGTGAAGTTCCACTACATTACACAGTAACTTCTCGATATCCTCTGTCCTTTCTAGCTGCAGACGATGCATTATGAGCCCATTCAGCCGCTCACGAATATTTAGAAGAGGAGTAATATCTGTCACACGTGTTCTAGAAATGTTTAGGTAACGAAGACTTAATAAATCATCGGCAATTATTTGCAGGCATTGTGAACTCAGTTCTGTCCTACTTGCATTAAGGACACTTAAATTCTTGAATCTTCCCAGTGCGACCAAGATTGGCAAGTGAGTTTCACATAAGATGGAGGTCCCCGATATATTTAGACACATCAAATTTTGAACAGTCCATTCACCGAGACAACTGATGATAGTATTCAAATTTACTTTCGTTAAATTCATCGCAGAGAGGCTGTAAAGATGAAAATCTTTAAGAACTTTCAATGAAGAAGGACCAACATTTGCTTCTTTGATTACTGGCGACATTAAATCAACACAATCCGCTGTAAAAAGGCCCATTCTATCATCATCTAAGGCGTTGCGCTTGCAAAGTTGTAGTAAAATCTTTTGAGATGGTCGGGCAACAAGACGAAAACCAGGATAAGGGAACTTCCATTTCCGTTTAACTTCACAATTTTCATTACTCAAATAGGTCAAAACATTCAGATTCTTACACACACATCTGACACACAAGTCCTCAAGAGATGACAGCGCATCCTCTGAAAACAAAAAACTTGGTATACTAACGGTTTTCAGTATTATACAGTTGCATAACAGGTATGTAGAGGGGAACTTACTTTTAATGTAGCTATCTGACGACAACGCCATACAATCTGTAGCGCACTGTCTAAACTGCGCTCTTGTAATATACAATATCCAATATCGTTTTAAAGAGCTAGCGTCAGCCAAACTGATATCTTTGTGTTCCCCTCTTGACTGTGAGGTTGAAGTTCCGCATATTTAGTAAACTTCTGAATAGTTTGTCCTGCGTACTCCACTGCCGTAGCTTTAACAGACTGCTAGATGAGTGGTGCAGAGATTGTTTATTTGTGACCCATAGCATATTGTGCGTTCAGACCAAGTCGCTGCTGTGAATGGAGTTGATCCTTTCACCCATAGGTCATCCGGTGTTGTCAAAATAAAAACAGATGTATTTATTGTAGTTTATGTATACCTGAAAACGAAAACGTACAAAAAAGTGGATATTGAAATTTAGTAGTTAAAAAAGGTTAAAATTTACAAATATAAGTCACTGAATGAGTAAAGTAGTTGGAAGAGTGAGGCGGTGGAAAAGTGTCTGTTCTAAACTGCTAGACTGGATGATAATCATTAATTTAGTTGGGAACAGTGAAACTTGAGTGAATAATTCACTCTGACAGCATTTGTGTTGTATGATTATAAATAAATAAATAAATTTATTCTCATAGTACAGTACATGAGGGACGCCAGTTTACAGGCATCATCAAATTGTTACAGAAATAGAACCATATAATTCAATCACAATTTACAGGCAGTAGCAAGATATGCTTTACATGTTCGCTGGAGATTATACATACACTTGATAAATGTTAATCCCAGTAGTATAAAACAGCCTTTTCACTTATATACAATCATTTCTGTGCAAAGTTGGAAAAATCTGCTAGATTGTCAGTGAGTGCAACACAACAGGAAATACAGGAGTATTGTCTTCGCATTAACAAAAAAACCAGGTCTTTGGTGGATGGATTATAAGTGCCTGGGAAAAAAATAAAGCTTGAAGTAAATATTCATACATAACTTTGTTGTGTGCAGAGTCCTCGAATTATAGTTCATTGATGTGTTATTTTGAAATCAGTGATGTGTTTATCTCATTTGATCTTCAATGTCATTGTTGGGAGTAAGTACATAAGCTTCGGACGCATTAATTAATGGATTTCTACTGCTTGTGGGTATTTTCTTAGCGTGAGGAAGGTTTATGAATTTCAGCTGTTCCGACAGGAGTTGAGAATATTAACTGCTCAGCAACATTATGGATATAAGTTCATCACATTATCTAAGGAAAGGTGGGTTGCAGTTGGTGAGGGATATATGGTGCCCAACGAGCGTTCATCTGTCCATGTGATGTTGTGGTGAGTTATACCTTTTTCATGTTGTCGGTTTATGTCCATTTTATTCCACTTATTGTGTTGGGTAGTAGTTTTACAAACGAGATTTCTTGTCTGTTTGAGGATACGTATCTTAACCGTTAATGTTTTATCTAGAATTATAAATATAGGCAAAAACAACAGGTGTAGTATTTAAGCTTATACATTAAATGGACCTATAATTTCGGAGGCTCTCAGATAGGAACTAGAACTACTTTCGTTTGCAAACTCTTGTAGTTTGTCATTAAGCACCTTTTTGAAGGAGGCCAATGTACTTGCTTGACGCATTTCCATTGGTAGTTTATTCCATATCTGTGCATACCTAATCAAGTAAAACTTTTGCCTGGTGGCTGTTTTACATTGTTCGATAGCTACTGTACCCTTAGTGTGTTTTAGTTTGTAGCCATTGTCATCTGAAAGTCGAGTGCCATTAGTAGAGGTAAAAACTAAGTGGTTTAGAAGCTTATAGTAAAGTGTCAAGTTTAGTCTCAGGCGTCTTAGCCATAGTGTTTCTAGTCCTAGGGTATCACATCTAGTGGAGTAGTTCGTACCATTTTCAGTTCCGAGTAATTTTAACGTGAAGTACCTCTGCACTCCCTCGACTTTCAATTTGTCCTCTATGCGTATGCTACTATACATGAATGAACAGTAATCAAATAAAGGACGCACACAAACCTTGTACAACAGAATTCTAGACTCATTTCTGTAGAAGTTCCTGAGTAGAAAGCCGATAAGTCTGCGTGACTTTGACACTTGTTTGGAGATATGTTCAGAAAATGATAAGTTATGTGAATATTTCAGCCCTAGGTCCAGTACAGATTCCAGTCGTTGAAGTGCATGGCCTTGAATTGTCAGGTCAAGTTCTAAATTGTTGCAACCTATGCAGAGCCAGCCACATTTTTCGACATTAAACTGGAGTTGCCAGGTGTCACACCATCTATCCATTTTTTCTAATTCTTGCTGTATGGCGTTTACTGTTATTCCAAGATCTGTGTTCTTGCATTTATACGTCACTTTTAAGTCATCTGCATATAGTATTGGTTTACCTACACTAAAGCATTCACAGATACTGTTTATATATATTATGAATAAGAGTGGGCCTAATACACTTCCCTGGATTACACCACTACTTACTGGTTTAGGCCTTGAGATTATCGAGCCAACTTTCGTTGTCTGACTTCGGCCACAGAGAAATGATTTTATCCAGCTCAGGAGAGGATCACATATCCCTAGTGAGCATAACCTGCTGACTAGCAGATTATGGGGAACTCTGTCGAAGGCTTTTGTTATATCGAAATATAGTACAATTACTAGTTCTCTGTTGTCCCTACTTCGTGTAACTTCATTGAAAAAGTCTATGTGACAGGTCACACATGATCTTTTTTTAAGAAATCCGTGTTGTGATGGATTGATAAGTTCATGTTCTAGTAAGTTGTCTGACACTTGGTCTTTAACCACTTTCTCCATTATTCTGGATATTACCGGTGTTATATTGATAGGTCGATAGTTGCATACACTGGTTTTGGCCCCTGCTTTGTGCTTAGGTAATATGTATGTGGTTTTCCACACTTCAGGATAAGTTCCAGTTTCCAACGAGAGAGTAAATATTCTAAGTAACAAGACTACCATTTCCGTGCTACCATTTTTGTACATGACAGATGGTATGTCATCTGTTCCAGTACTACCATTAGACTTCAAAGTCTTAATCGCTGAGTCTATATTTTGTATATTAAAGTCTATTTCGCCTAATTTGTGGTTACTTTTGCAGGTCATTTGGAAATTTTGGGTCGGGTGCACTCTGGCGTCATTGCAAAACCACTCATTGAGGAGTTCACTTATAACCTGGGGATCATTGTATATTATACCCTTATGTTCCAAGCTGCTTACAGTATTGTCTTTGCTGCTTTTTAGACGTTTCTGCAATATCCTACAAAGTTCCTGAGTTTTGGAGTTGCCCACAAGCGCTTTATTTTCTTCAAGTTGTGACCTCATTTTGTGTTTATCTTCAAGCCGTTTAAGAGTTTCATGTATTTGGTTTAACGCATTAAATTCCTTAAATACATGGTATTTCCTTTTCAATTTCTTTAGTTTTAGTCGCGTTTTGCGGTCTATAAATGGAGTTGGTGTCTTTAGAGCAGATTTTAGGGGCGCGATTATGTCTCTTGCTGAGCCAATTGTTTTGTAGAAAATATCAAGTGATACTTCTAAGTTATTGTTGATGAAGTATTCTTCCCAGTCAGAACTTCTCAGCAGATCTGATAGGAATTCCCAATCGGCATTCTTATAGTCCCTATACTGATAGTGCACCGGGGAATTTTTAGGTGTGTGTTTAGTTGTTAGTCGGAGGGGTAGCGTGCAGCACAATATGTTGTGATCACTGTTATCAAGTTTATTTCCTACCTCTATCGAGATGGGCTCTATTTCATGACAAAGGATTAAGTCAAGAGTGTTTTCATTTCTTGTAGGGAGGCGTACGCACTGCTTCCATCCGCCTACGTCTATAGCTTGTAGTAACTCGTCACGGATTCTAGGTCCTGTACAGGTATCCCAGTTTACTCCAGGTAAGTTGAAATCGCCACAGACTACTTTGTAGGCAAAGTCCAGCGTAGCTGCATGCTCTAGTATTTCTCCAATAGTTATATCAGTCATTTGAGGGCTATTAGGGGGTCTGTATATACATCCCATGAGAATTTTATTTTCGTTTGTGTGGATGCTTATCCACTTAGATTCAGGGAGTTTGTCAGTAGTTGGGTTATTGAAAGTATTGGAGTTAGTGGATTTAGAGGCATATATTAAGCAGCCGCCTCCTCTTTTGTCAACTCTATCGTTCCTATAGATGTCGTAGTTGTCTATTACTAGCTTTGAGTCAGGTATATCAGTAGTAAGCCAGGTTTCAGTCACCATTATTAGTGTTGGCCGTTCTATGTATGCCAGGCAGACTCCAATTATAGCTTAGCACAGAAGAGGTAGTAGCCGCATCTGTCAGTAAAGAAATCCGGGAGCAGAAAACAGAAATGCGAAGAAAGTGGGGCGCACTCGATTCTTCATTATTATCAATCTATAGATTAAGCTGAAAAAATTGCCACTATGTGCAGAATTAGGTCTTTTCGTTCTGCAGTAATGCTAGTCAGTGCTTGATATGTCCTGTGAGACCATTTCAGATCAGATTCAGAATTTACTCACTACAGAATGTTAGAGTTATTTCACAATTAGTGAGATTTAATTCAGCGTTGTAGTTAGCTTAAGATACTGTCTGTTACACGGTTTCCACTGATACTGTATGCCTAATGCTGCGATATTTTTGATCACTAATGGTGGAGATGAATTTCTCTTGAAATTTACATTTACATGAAGCAGTACTGATGCAGTATCACGATTAGATGACTACGTTGAATTTTATGGTAATGTTATCCTCATCAACACAACAGGTCTGTGTATCTAGCAATATTTTCAGTGTTTCTCTATGTTGTTAACATCGTGCATAGCTGCTTAGAGTTGAGGCATGTTCAGCTATGGTTTGGCTATGGTTTCCTGAATTAATTCCTAAGTTACACATTTGCAATATTTCTTTTGATGTGGATGTATTTAGCGTGAAGTTGATCTACAAGCAATCTTGATGAGAGAATGACGCCTCAACAGTATGGGTGTTTCAGATATTGACTACAAATTCGCGTATCATCCTCTAATTCTGGAAAGCATATGAGGTCTATTGATGCATACGGTGCCAATTTAAAAACACCTGTGGACTACAAATACTT